CCTCCTCACAGACCTTATGATTGTAGCATTGAATTGATCCCTGGCGCACCATTACCAACCAGCAAGCTCTACAATCTTTCCAATCCTGAGAGGGGGGCCATGGAGACTTATATCACCGATTCCCTAGCTGCTGGGCTCATTCGCCCCTCCTCATCCCCTGTAGGGGCCGGTTTCTTTTTTGTTGATAAAAAGGACCGTGCACTTCGCCCTTGCATTGATTACAGGGGACTCAATGATATTACTGTCAAAAACAAGTATCCCCTTCCACTGATTGATTCAGCCTTTTGCTCACTCCAAGAGGCCACCATTTTTACCAAACTTGACCTTCGGAGTGCCTATCATCTAGTCCGTATAAAGGAGGGAGATGAATGGAAGACGGCGTTCAACACCCCACTCGGACACTTTGAGTACCTGGTAATGCCATTTGGTTTAACAAATGCTCCAGCTGTGTTCCAGGCCCTTATTAATGATGTGTTGCGGGATATGTTGAATAGATTTGTGTTTGTATACATTGACGACATTTTGATTTTTTCTCGCTCTCTTCAAGAACATGTACAACATGTCAGACTTGTTCTACAACGCCTTCTCAAAAACAGACTTTATGTAAAAGCAGAGAAGTGTGAATTTCATGAGAGTTCTGTTGGCTTCCTTGGTTTTGTCATTGAAAAGGGGCAGATCAAGACGGACCCAGCCAAGGTACAGGCGGTTGCTGATTGGCCAACCCCTTCCAATAGGAAGCAACTCCAAAGATTTTTGGGATTTGCAAACTTCTATAGACGCTTTATTCGTGACTATAGTAAAGTTGCGGCACCTCTTACCAAACTTACTTCTGTTAAAGTGCCTTTTGACTGGCCTGCTGAAGCAGAGGCAGCTTTTGTGAAACTAAAGGACCTTTTTTGTTCTGCTCCAGTATTGTCTCACCCAGATCCTTCTGCCCAGTTTATCATCGAAGTGGATGCCTCTGACTCTGGTGTTGGGGCCGTCCTTTCTCAGCGGAATGCCACTGACCAGAAGTTGCATCCATGCGCCTTCTTCTCCCGTCGTCTAACTCCTGCGGAGAGGAACTATGATGTTGGCAACAGGGAGCTGCTGGCAGTCATCGTCGCACTAAGGGAGTGGAGGCACTGGTTGGAGGGCTCGGCACAGCCATTCATGGTATGGACAGATCATAAGAATTTATCCTATCTACGTTCTGCTCGCAGGCTAAATTCCCGCCAGGCTCGCTGGGCACTATTCCTTGGCCGGTTCAACTTCACACTCACTTACCGTCCGGGGTCCAGGAACCTCAAGCCGGATGCCTTGTCCCGCCAGTTTGCGCCTCCTAATGAAGAACCTCCTACTGAAAATATCTTGCCTCCCACCTGTGTGGTAGGGGCAGTCTGTTGGGAGGTGGAGAAATCTGTCCAGGAGGCCCTTGTCAATCATCCCTCACCTCCGGGATGTCCTTCTGGCTGCTTGTTTGTGCCGCCATCAGCCAGATCTGTGGTTTTGCAGTGGGGCCATTCCTCCAGAGTCTCCTGTCATCCTGGATTTCATCGAACCCTTACCTTAATCCAGCAGCGCTTCTGGTGGCCCACAATGTCCGCTGACATCAAGGGGTTTGTTTCTGCTTGCTCGGTCTGTGCCCGCAGTAAAGCATCCCACCGAGCTCCTGCTGGTCTGCTTCGTCCACTCCCGATTCCACACAGTCCCTGGTCCCACATCGCTGTGGACTTTGTAACTGGCCTTCCCCCATCTGAAGGTAACTCTGTAATTTTGACCATTGTAGATCGATTTTCGAAGTGTGTACATTTTGTCCCATTACCAAAGTTGCCCTCTGCCTTCGAGACTGCTAATTTACTGGTTCAACATGTCTTCAAACTCCATGGCATACCACAGGATATTGTGTCTGACCGAGGCCCACAGTTCACTTCTCAAGTTTGGAAGGCCTTCTGTCGTGCAGTGGGGGCTACAGCCAGTTTATCGTCTGGATACCATCCACAAACTAATGGCCAGACGGAGCGGGCGAACCAAGACCTGGAAGCGGCCCTCCGATGTGTCACTGCTCACCATCCGGTTTCCTGGTCCCTGCATCTCCCTTGGATTGAATACTCTCACAACTCCCTAGTTTCTTCTGCTACTGGTATGTCTCCTTTCATGGCTGCTATTGGTTTTCAACCTCCCCTCTTTCCCAGCCAGGAGACTCGAGTTGCGGTTCCGTCCATCCAGCAGCATCTTCAACGTGCTCGTAAGATCTGGCATGAAGTCAGAGCAGCTCTTTCCCGCACTGCTGTTAGGAACCAGCAGCTTGCAGACCGCCGCCGCTCTCCTGCTCCGGAGTATGAGCCTGGTCAGAAGGTTTGGCTTTCCGCACGTGACCTTCCCCTACAAACTGAATCCAAAAAACTCTCTCCCAGGTACATTGGCCCTTACGTCGTAGAACGGGTTATCAATCCTGCTGTGGTGCGGCTTAAATTGCCTCCTTCTCTGAATGTCCACCCTGCCTTCCATGTCTCCCTGCTGAAGCCTTTTCTGACGAGTCCTCTTAGCCCTATGGCCGAGCCCCCTCCGCCCCCCCCGGGTGGTCGACGGTCACCCTGCGTTTGCTGTGCGGCGGCTGCTGGATGTTCGGAGGTTTCCAGTATCTGGTGGACTGGGAGGGTTACGGCCCTGAGGACCGCTCATGGGTTTCCCGGTCCCTCGTCTTGGATCCGTCGCTCTTTCGTGACTTTTATGCCCTGCATCCCTCTAAGCCTGGTAGACCGCCGGGTGGCGTCCCTTGAGGGGGGGGCCCTGTTAGGGTTTGTGTTTTGTTCCCCTCCTCTTTGTGTTTTTTCTTTCCTTCTGTGCAGAGCTGGTGGTTGACGGGGGCGTGGCTGGCACATGCAGCAATCAGGCACACCTGGACTTGATTAGTATTACGTGCCAGAATGTCCAGGGTAGCACGTAACGTATATAGTGAATAACCGGGTGTGGGATGACGAATGAAGAAGGTGAGAGGTCGTAGATTAGGAGTGAAATAATAGGTTTATTACACAAAACTCAGGATCTCATAATAAACAAATAAACTACTAGCAGAAATGTGCAGAAACAAAGGTGCAGCGTAGGACGCAGACGTCAGCCCTCATCTGGGCCAGGGGCCTTTTAGGCCTGGGCTGATTGGCATCCAGCAGGTGCCGATCATCAGCCAATGGGTGGTGCGGAGGAGGCACAGAGCTGAAGGGGGTGGAGGCAAGGAAAAGTACAAACCAACAAACCACAAGGCCCATAACACCTCCCCCCATAAAACAAAACCCCCAAAAGGCTAAAACTAGCGAGGTCAATTAACCAAAATTAAACAAGTACACAGTACAAAACCCACCGGCTATGGACGAGCCACAGAGCAATACCTATCATAGTGTGTACAGTGCATTAAAAGGATAGGGGTCCCCACCACCACACATTGAGTGGTGATGACGAACTGTAGACTACAATATCACAATCATTCACATGTCGGTCTGCCATGGAAAAGGATATTGCTGCCCATCACCACTTGCGACTCAAGCGGTGATGGATGTCCTCAGTCTCGCGATAGGGCATCAGCCACAATATTTTCCTTCCCCTTCTTATGTTGGATGGTGATGTTGTACTCCTGGGCGAGCAGGGCCCACCGCATCAGCCGCTGGTTCTGGTTATACATCTGCGCCAGGAATACAAGGGGATTGTGGTCTGTGAACACCGAGACTGGGACATTAGTAGACCCGACATAAACATTAAAGTGCTGGAGGGCTAGGAGCATCGCCAGAGTCTCTTTCTCAATGGTGGAGTAGTTGAGCTGGTGCTTCTTGAACTTCGCCGAAAAGTAGGATACAGGATGAGGGACCCCAGCGTCATCATCCTGTGTGAGCACAGCACCAGCTCCAGTAGCACTGGCGTCCACCTCCAGGCTAAACGGCTTGGTATAGTCCGGTGCAGAGAGGACAGGAGCACTGCAGAGAAGAGACTTAGCAGCCAGGAACGCACTTTCACACTCTGTAGTCCACAGGAAAGGGACAGCAGGACTGCACAGGGCAGTGAGAGGGGTTACTAGAACAGAGAAGTTCTTGCAAAAACACCGATAGTAACCCGCTAACCCTAAAAAACGGCGCAGTTCCCTACGGCTGGTAGGTGGAGGGTATGCCAGCACAGCCTCAACCTTTGCGTCCACAGGCCTCACTTGTCCATGGCCAACAACCTTCCCAAGGTAGGTGACAGAGGCCTTGCCAAAATCACATTTCGCCAAGTTCAGCGTTAGATTAGCTTTGGACAGACGACAAAATACCTCAGACAGAGTCTGGACATGGTCAGGCCAAGTATCTGAGTAACACACAATATCATCCAAGTAGACATTACACTTGGGAACGTCACTCAGGACTATATGCATTAAGCGCTGAAAAGTGGCAGGCGCATTCCTCATGCCAAAAGCCATGACCGTATACTGCATGAAGTGGTCAGGGGTCACAAATGCAGAAACTTCAGACGCTCTGGCCGTCAGGGGAACCTGCCAGTAGCCCTTTAAGAGGTCCAACTTGGTAATGTGCACGGCAGGGCCAATATTGTCAATGCAGTCTTCCATCCGGGGTAGAGGGAACGAGTCTGCTACTGTCACGGCATTGACTTTCCTAAAATCCGTGCAAAAACGAAGAGTGCCATCTGATTTGGGAGCAAGGAGGCATGGAGAACTCCAGGGGCTATGGCTAGGTTTAGCAAGGCCATTGGTCACCAGGTAGCTAACTTCCCTCTTCATGGCCTCCCGCTTGGTCATAGGGCACCGATAGGCATGCTGCTTGATGGGGAATGCAGAGCCTACATCTATGTCATGCTCCAACAGAGTGGTACGAGACGGTGTGTCACCAAACAACGACGGGTAGGCCCCTAAAAGAGCCAGAATGTCCTTGTACTGATCCTTACTGAGATAAGCCAGATTGGCGCCTAAACTGGACATATACTCAGAGTTTGATAACCTTCCACTCTGTTGTGCAACACACGGCTCTGCTAAATCCTCAAGACTCTCCGAACACACGGCTGACACAGAGGGCACAGCTAGCATGGACTGTGCTGGCCTGTGCTCCCCCCTTACAAGGAGAGGCTTCAGCATGTTGACATGACAAAGTCTAGTCTTCCTCCTCCGCTCCGGGGTAGCGATAAGGTAGTTTGTGTCGGACACTTTCCTCTCAACAACATAGGGACCAGAGAAACGGGCCGAAAGGGCAGAACCAAGGGTTGGGAGTAACACCAGGACTTTATCCCCAGGACTGAAGTGCCGAATCACTGCCTTTCTGTCGAATCGCCTTTTCATTCCAGCCTGGGAAGAGACGAGCGCTTCCCTAGCCAACGCGGTAGCCCGCTGTAACCGCTGCTTACAGTCTGACACAAAATCCGATGCACTCCTAACCGACTTCGGCATGGTTAATAACTGTTCCTTAAGCACTTTAAGTGGCCCACGCATGCCGTGACCAAAAACAAGTTTGGCGGGGCTGAACCCGAGGGATTCTTGGGTAGCATCCCTAACAGCAAATAACATGAAAGGAACACCCTCATCCCAGTCCTTCCCTGTCTCAAAACAGAACTTGCTCAGCACAGATTTCAGCGTCTGGTGCCACCGTTCCAACGCACCCTGAGACTCTGGGCGCTGGCCACAGAATGAGCAACCCCGAACGACTGCAGGGTCTCCTTGAAGACTTTAGACAGGAAGTTAGTTCCCTGGTCAGTCTGTACAGCCCTAGGCAGACCAAAGGTACTAAAAAACTTTGTAACGGCTTTAACAATAGAAGGGGCCGTGATCCTGCGCAGAGGGATCGCCTCAAAAATGAAGGGCTTAAAACAGTCATCACACTCTGAAATGGGAGAACAAGCAGGCCTCTCATTAGTATGAATAGCAGCTGGGATCGTCTTGATAAGCGCTACACTTTTCGGTTTAGATGTGGGCTGCTGTTTGCGCTTTAAAGCGTCACAATCCGCGACGATATGACCACTTTTATGACAAAAGAAACACTGCTTTGTCCGCTCAGGCCTTGAAGTAGTCGCAGGACTAACGGGGATCCTCCCCTCAGACATGGGAAAAGGTTCACGCTTAAAAACAGCCGCCTGCTGGAGCATGGCCACTTTTTGTTCATTTAAGTACACAATAAGGCGCTCAGAAAGACAGTTCTTAAATTCTTCAATAAGAAATAGTTCCCGCAGCGCCTCAAAAGTACCCGCTTTACTTGCAGAGCACCACCTGTCAAACAGCAGCCCCTTCTCCACGGGCAAAATCCACAAAACTCTGGTTATACGATTTTCGAAGCCCTCTAAAACGCTGCCTATAGGCCTCGGGCACCAGCTCATACGCACGCAAAATAGCACTTTTCAGACAGTCATAGTTCAAACTGTCCGATACTGACAAAGACGCGCATGCTTCGGAGGCCTTGCCACTCAATTTACACTGTAATAAAATTGCCCATACATCTCTAGGCCAGTGCAAGGCGCTCGCAATACGCTCAAAAGCACCGAAATATGACTCAACTTCGGACTCGCGGAAAACCGGGACAAGTTGAATGTTCTTTGTCACGTCAAATGAATCACACGCACTGGCCGTAACAGGCGAAAATGGAGCTGAACCGCGACCCGATGCCTGCAGCTCCAATTGTCTCATACGAAACGCAGTGTCAGCTTCTAACCTTCTAAACTCAACCTCGCGAGCAGTGGCTGCCTCCAGCTCAATGCGCTTTAACTCGAGCTCACGCTTGAGCTGGAAGTCACGCTCTTTCTCCTCTCTCTCGTTTTTGAGCCGCGCAAGGCGCACATCCAAGCGCACATCACGAGGAGAATGCACACTCAAAGTAGGAGACAAGACACGAACCTTTTCCTCAGCCTCCCCAAACAAAACCTCTGGAGAGCCCACCGGTGGCTGTGGGGAATCCGCGCTCTCCCCGAGACGCACGGGGGACGCCACTGCGCCTCCCACGGTCACTCCTTGTTCCAGATTGCTCGACTTGGGCAAAACCAAAACTTCACTGGCGACCAAACCTGCCAACACAGCCTCCCTTAACTCTCCCACGCGCAATGTAACAGACACGGGGATTTCATAGTGCCGGGCAATCTCCAATAAGTCAACTTTTCTACACGAATCCAACACATCACTAGTTGGCTCAGCCACGAAAGCACCCAAGTCAAACGTAGCCATATCACTCACCAAAATCACCAATCCAGGCCACAGCCGATCCCACTCACGGCCAGGCTACACCTGCTGACACTTTGCCAATCCACACTCCACCAGGAATGTGCCGTGCGCGCGCTTCTGACACAGCCGCGCGCAACCCACACACACACTCCCACACACACGCCAGGGACAAAAAGACGAGCTCACGCAGGGCGCACTGATCACATAGAAACCCAAACCAGTTTAAACAAATGGTACCCAGACTCCTAACCAGGAAACTTTACGCCTAACTGTCTTCTGGGGTTTGCCGAGCTCGAGGCGTGCAGCCCCCGCCAGAGAATTCACTCCGCCCGGGATTCGCCCCGAAAATAACAAACTAAAACAAAAAACGGATGCCCGAAGGAATGACGAGTAAATCGGCCAAGCTGGACACCCCCCTAGTCTAGCTGGGTCACCAATGTATAGTGGCTGAGCAAGCGCCCATACACAGCTCAACTCACCCAGAGCGCACGCACCTACGAACACTCACAGACTTCTGGTACAACGTCAGGATCCCGGACGAGCCCCCAACTATTACGTGCCAGAATGTCCAGGGTAGCACGTAACGTATATAGTGAATAACCGGGTGTGGGATGACGAATGAAGAAGGTGAGAGGTCGTAGATTAGGAGTGAAATAATAGGTTTATTACACAAAACTCAGGATCTCATAATAAACAAATAAACTACTAGCAGAAATGTGCAGAAACAAAGGTGCAGCGTAGGACGCAGACGTCAGCCCTCATCTGGGCCAGGGGCCTTTTAGGCCTGGGCTGATTGGCATCCAGCAGGTGCTGATCATCAGCCAATGGGTGGTGCGGAGGAGGCACAGAGCTGAAGGGGGTGGAGGCAAGGAAAAGTACAAACCAACAAACCACAAGGCCCATAACAATTAGGAACCAGCCTACAAACACTCTGCTCAGTCCTCTCCACACTGCCAGATAATTCCGTCTCAGTCGGTAGAAGCCTTACCTGCTTTTTGTCCTGACGTATTTTGTGATTCTTACATGTCTCCGTCTTTGCCCAGGTTGGTTCTCGCTCTGGGTTACCTCTGCTCCGTCCTGGTTCGACTTGCTGCCTGCCTGCCCCCGTCGCCTCAGCCTCTTCAGTTTTTGTTTTTGTTTTTTTGGAAATAAATTGGTGAACCTTACCTGCCTCAGTCTCCGCTTTGGGATTCCTCCTCTGCAATCCATAACAATGTGTCCTCATCTCGCTCTTTCACAGATTGGATATTTTCCAATCTTGGAAATACCAGATTGGATATGGTATTTCCACTTTTCTGTAAAGGCGTTTGCTTTGAAGATTGTTACATTGCTTCATGTTCCACCACTGTTTACCCTTTATGACCACGGACAAGACTTTCTCCAGGGAGAAGATAGTCATGGTGCTGCTGTAAAAGAAGGTATAGTGTCAGAGGGATGGGATAATGGGTTATATCATCTCGAAAATATAATTTTTTATCTCCGCAACATCGCTCGCCTCCTCCCCTCCCTCTCGCATTCCACTGCTGAAATACTAATCTCCAAAAACTACAATACATCCAGAACTCTGCCAACCGCCTGCTCACCCGCTCCAGAGACCACATCAACGAGACGAGTCCTCAAACAACTCCACGGGCCCACTGTTCCATACCGCCTACAATACAAGGTCCTCCTCCTCATCACCTACAAATCCCTCCATTAAGATAAGATAAACCTTTATCCTATTTAAAATAAGAAACTCTGGGGCTATAATTGCACATGGTTCAGAAGTATTTACAGATGTCTATATTGTACTTTAGCAGCGGAGAATATGAGCAGAATAAGTATCAAATAATATCAATATGTAAAGTGACTGGTGAAAGGCAGAAATATCAGATGGATATGTAGTAATGCAGTAATACTGATAACAGGTAAAGTGACTGCCCCTTCTTACCTCACTGACCTCTTCCATCATCACTGTCCCTCCCGCCGCCTCAGGTTCACAGACTCCAACCTCCTCACTCCTCTCAAGACTAAACACCCATATTTTGTCATGTGTCTGGTCCTCCTGGTTTTGTGCAATGGACAAACCTCCCATGATGCTTTCAGTGTTTTGACCTATCAGGCTCTGCTAATCAGAGTGGAGTTAGAGAGTTCAAAGGAATTGAAAAGAAGCATAGCGGCTTAAAGTCCAGCAATTACGGTATTACATAAATCACTCTTTACATTTGCAGAATGTAAAAGTTTGGATTTCGCAAACCCTTCCCCCTGTGCTGTGATTGGCCCATGCTTCTTCAATACCAGACTGCATTTCATATACGTAAATCGAATTTTTAGAAATGCTTTATTGCTTTTGTAGATTGGAACTTTGGAGCATTGTCCCATAATGCTGAAAATAAACGTGCATGTACATAGATAGATATCAAAATATTATAAATGTAATATGTTTATTTATTGTTAAAACAGTACAATATAATACAATGAATATTTTGACAAATGTAAATATGCCATAATATGTTCTATGCTAATCTGCATCGGTAGACCCTCTGGCAAGTTATTCTTTTAAAAAGTTTTCTTTAAAAACACCTACACTTCATAGAAACTGTACATAAGAAGATATGACAAGGGACAGAACAGGAACAACTAAACATCCTACACTCTATAATGCTTTCCAAATGGATCAAGGCGGTATGTGCTTTATCCTGGATCTTCGTATCCAGGATTTTTCACAAGTCAAAATGCTTCTGCATGCTTCATCTCTGACACACATGGATCATGAGCTAATATTAAAGAAGCTATACCCGATTTATTTTTGAATGCGTATTACTACATGCGTGAAAATGTGATGCTCATCGATTCAGCTTGTGTATGAATTCAGGTCGGTAAAAAGTGCTGAGTAGAGACTCAGCGTGACGCTAGCTCTCCTCCAATCAAAGAACGAGGAGCAGCACTGTTACAAACAGGCCGTGTCCTCGAGCGTCTACAGCGCATGTAAACACAGCAGCATGTTAGCTGATAGCGGCTATACCTCCTCTGGGTGTAACTGCAGACACAGCAACACAGGCCAAGCGACACAACAGTCAGGAAGAAAAGAGAGAATTAAAGCGAAAAAATGATCAAAGGAGAAATCAAGCCCGGGTGAACATAGCTAGCTTACATCGTATCCTCTGGAGAGACCTACGGGAGCAGGACCACCTCGGACTACATTTGGGCGCAAAACCAGGAGTAATCTTTCAGTTATATATTTTGTTGGCAGTGCGTTGCTTTTGTGCCATTTCATCAGTGATTGTTGTACAGCTTACGAGAAGTTGCACTAATGCAAATGTTTGCATACGTATCAGGTCGCAAAAAAAAACCAGATGGCTTCGAGGGAGAAGAGCGTAGGGAAATGACTTGTGAGCGAGTTGGGGGGCGGTGCTAAACATTCACTGAAAAAAACGGGTATAGCTCCTTTAAGAGCATTTGAAATCTCAGCATTGATCCAAGAACAAGTGGCAGTGTGCAGACTTTATATCCTTCAAGCATGACCTTTTGAAAGTCAATTTCTCTTAAAGATCAGACATTACTTATCACCAAGTCACCAAGGCCTGTTCATATACACAGTCATCACCTGCGGCTGAGGCCGGGGTGCCAGCATTATGACCTGCTGTGGGGCCATGGCCTGACCGTAAACAACAGTATTGGGAACCATATACTGGGGCCGAGGGGCCACTGTCCCATAAACCTCGTGCACAGTCATGACGGGGCGAGCGGGTACTGTGACCACTCGGGGGGGCATGGCGCATGCGATATTGGTGTTCATCGCCGGGACCATGAGAGCGTTGGGGTTGTAGGCAGGTGGTTGTTGGGCTGGAGGGTATGGCGGATTTGGAGCATTGGTTACTGTGATAGCTGGGTTTGAGTTTGTCGTGGGTAGGACATTCTGTGGGGAATATGGCATGGTGGGGTAGGTGGGCAGTGGTGATGGCCCGCATGTGTTGGAGAATCCTGACGGAAAAGGCTGTGTGGGATGGGCTGGTTCATTCTTCCCAGAAACTGCTTTCCACACATCGTCTAACTTTTCATAATTCTCTATGTGTATTGCTCCTGTCAGGATCTGGAAGCTGTCATCCAGTCTCTCGTTGATTTTCTGAAACATTTCCTCGTGAGCGTTGTTGAAGACAAAGCTCTTGACCGTGTTGCAATTGCGGAACTTCTGCATGATGTTCTGTGCGTTGACTAGAGTGGCAGACAGTTCCTTCAGAGCATTATCGACCACTTCTGAAATCTGCCTGGGGTTCATTTCCTTCAGTCTGGCAAGCAGCGGCAGCAGCGATTGGACGCGCTTGGCCACGCGCTTACAACGCTCTTTGTTGGCTTTCATGTTCATTCCCATCGCCACCACCGTCTTGGCCAAGGATATGACCAGGTCGACTCCAATGTCCGCCATTTTCTAATGATCTAGAAACAGAACGAAGGGTTTTGTTCAAATTTAATTCAAGTCAAGGTATTATTGTACAGCCTGGTTAGGGGCTGGTGCTCTGTGTACTGGGTGGCATCTGTGACTGCCACCCCCGACCCAGAAATGGATAAAGGGGAAGAAACTAAATGGATGGAGGGTTGTACAGCCCTAAATCACAACAGCAATCTTTTGTGGACAATTCTACAACTTTGTAAAGTCCACAGAGGCAACTGCTGTTGTGATTTAGGGCTATACTAGCCTGGCCTCAGCCAACTGTAAACTCTGGTCAGTTATCATTTCCGGTTTTGCGGTTTCCTCGGTTGAATCCCCTCCGACTATTCAGTGAGCAGGGGAGGCGGGTGTTGTAGGTATTTGTCAGTGACGTCAAGAGTTTAAGCCAAATTTGCTGGTTTTAGTTTGGCAATGGCAGTGAATGCGATAGTAAAGTAATTTGTTCTGGTTCAGCTTCAATTATCAAGAAATTGAAGCCGGTGCAAGAAAAATGTTCAGCAAATGTCATTGCTGCAAAGATGTTGTGGCTCTACTCCCCACGGGCTTCGTTAGTCGCAAAGGAGATGGCTAATGCTAGGCTAAATGTTAAATGCTAACGACTCACTCGGGTGCTTTACATACGTCTCGGTAAACTCAGATTGTTTCAATCTGCAAAAGGAGTTAATCCCTCCCACCTGTTAACGTAGCTCAATGGAGCACATCCAGACCTTAGTAGGAAATTAAATTAGTACGATGGTTTGGTAAGACCAGGCTCGGGCTATAGACAAATAAATATAGATTTAAATTAAATTGAAAACCGGAAACTTTAACAACTCTTGTGTTCTGAATAAATACATAGTGCAATGGTCAGAAGAGATCTTATTGATATAAACTCAGTGAAACTACAAGAGGCAGACAGTGACCCCTGAGGGACAGTGTATGTACTATATGTAAAGAGAATAAAAAATAAAAATGTTTAATCAATCAATCAAAATATATTGATTGATTGATTAAACATCAATCAATCAATACGTTCATATAAAACGTAACACAAAGAGCTTCACATTGACAACATTTAGAACCAACAGTCAACAAATGAAAACACACACAAAATACATTTTTTTAAACCTCTTAATTTTTGCTATTACAAATTATCTGTGTTTCATACACAGATGATATGAGAAAAACAGGGTCAGTTATTAACTAATTGAGGAAATGTTCAAATACTATTATTATTATATTTTCCTTTGTTGCTAAGATAAACACACATGAGAAATCTTTAAAATCCCACATTGAGATCATAATAAAACTACAACATACACTTTAACCCTAACCTCAATCCTTAACCATGAATACAGTGATAACAGATCTGACTGGTATAAACCCCTAAATTGAATAATACAAAGTTAGGACATTTACCTGAACGTAGATGTTATTTGTGGGCATAAAGGCACAAAAAGGCGACGGATCCGTAGTCACTTGTTTTGTTGAATGTGCGTCATGCGTGAAAGCACAGTCACAGCCCTGTCTCGCTGAACTGGTTTTCAAAGACGAGAAATCTGAAATATGCCTCGACGAATGACAGTAAATGTATCAAGTCAATGCATCAGAGAGAGGATATAGATGTGGACTATAGACTTTCCCCTTCCCCGGAAAGAAACAAAAAACATTAAAGCTATTACCAGTATATAAAAAACAGCAACTGCAAGTGTTTTTGTCTATAATGTAGTTCCTTTCAATTAAAACACAAAATTACACACAAACACATACAGGTCCAGGACAGTTTATAATAGTAATGTTAAAAAATAAAAAATAAAAAGATTTACTATTACATTTTTTTGTTTTTTGTTTTACCCTACACCAATGATTAAGACAATGGGGAAAATAAAGGTTCTCATTCAATGCCAGTCCACAGCTATATTTTATATCCCTTGACTTCCTGAATTTACAGAATAAAGTTTTAGAAGGCAATTCCTATGTTTATGTTAGCACTATAATAATGTGGCGCTAGCTTGAATATGAAAACCAGATCCTCTCAGATCTCTGAAGCTAAGCAGGGTTGGGCCTTCACCCACACAACCAGATTATTGTGTGTGTGTGTTTGTGTGTGCGCGCAAATGATTTGTATTTGTCAGAGGGCATATACTGGTTGCCTCCCTTTAGTCGATCTTACCCAGGGCAGCTGTGGCTACAATACCACCATGTAAGGCAAGGCAAGGCAAGTTTATTTGTATAGCACAATTCCTACACAAGGCAACTCAAAGTGCTGAACAAGATAGCATTAAAATCATAAATAATCACAGAACATTAAAAAGAAAGATAAAAATATAAAATCCCTCAGTTGTATGCACAGCTAAACAGAACTGTTTTTAACCTGGTTTTAAACATTGTCAGAGAGGCCTGTCTCACATCTTCAGGAAGATTGTTCCAGATTTTAGCAGCATGAATCTGAAAAGCAGCCTCCCCATGTTTAGTTCTGACTCTGGGCACTAACAGGAGTCCAGTCCCTGTGCTCCTCAGAGTCCGGGCTGGTTCATATGGGACTGGGACATGGAGAGACTTGTACACAAGCAGAGCTGTTTTAAAGTCTATTCTCTGAGCCACAGGAAGCCAGTGCAGAGACCTGAGAACTGGACTAATGTGGTCGTACTTCCTGGTTCTAGTCAGGACTCGAGCTGCTGCATTTTGAATGTACTGCAGCTGTTTTACAGCCTGTTTGGACAGACCTGTGAGCAGGCTATTGCAGTAGTCTAACCTACTGGAGACAAATGCATGGATAAGAATCTCCAAGTCTGCTTTAGACACTATGTTTTTGATCTTGGCAATGTTTTTTAGATGGTAAAAAGCTGCTGATGTTAATGATTTGATGTGGCTATTAAAATGTAAGTCTGAGTCCAGTATTACCCCTAGATTTCTGACCTTGTTTGAAGGTTTTAGGGAGAGAGACTGTAGGTGACAGATGACGCTCTCTCTTTGTTTCTGGGGACCAAAGACAATCATTTCGGTTTTGTTTGCGTTTAGCTGAAGGAAGTTGTTTTGCATCCACTCACTGATCTGTTGGATACAGTGAAGGAGTGAGTCCACTGGTCCATGTTCTCCTGCAGTCAGTGAGACATAGATCTGAGTGTCGTCTGCATAGTTGTGATAGGACACTTCGTTTCTGCGTATTAACTGACCTAACGGCAGCATTTAGAGATTGAACAGAAGAGGTCCCAGGATCGACCCCTGTGGTACTCCACAGGTCAGGGCCATATGATCTGGGACACAGTTTCCAATCTCCACAAAGTACTTCCTGTCTTCAAGGTAAGACCTAAACCAACTTAGGGCGGGGCCAGCGACGCCAACCCAGTCCTCTAGTCTCTGTAAGAGGATCTCATGGTCGAGGATCTGTATGTAGTGAATACCATCCAATACCACTCTCTGCAACTCATTCCCATAACAAGAAGTCAGGAAGTCAAACTCACTTCAGAACCTCAAATCACGGTCGGCACTAGATCATTATATAGAAGCGGAAGTAAGTATAACCAACTACCTAAACAACTAGATCCATGCCTAAACTTATCCAGCCATTCCCATAGAATAACCCCAACCCACCCCTAACCCTGACCTTAACAATCTTACTCAGACACCTAAAACCAGTCACCACTCCAGGACTTATTAGTCTAAAACTAATTAGAAAGTAGGATTGTTACTTCCGCTTCCGTCCTGATTCCGTACATGATCTAGTGCCGACCCTCAAATCACTGCTCAAAACCCACCTGTTCAAAACTGCCTATTTTAGCTTTTTATTTTTTCTATATTTCTATTTTCCTGTTGTCGTAAAGCCTTTCTGTGGGTTCAAAAAGTGTTATATTACATCTGTGCATATATTTATTTATCTATTTTTATTTATTTATTTATTTTCACATCACCAACACAATACATGTTGTGTATATCTCCCCAAAAAGCTCTGCAAATATATAAATGGGGGTCCCACATTGTAGCAAGAAGTTTAGTTTGAGTTTACATAATAGTAAAAACAGGAAAATAAAAAAAATAAAACACAGTACAAAATCACATGCATACATCCACACACACATGATGTCACTAATACCGTGTCTTGTAACCATTTAATATTATCTGCTACTGTCAAGGTTGTCCTTTTAGTTTTAGTTTTAGTTTTTACTTCCTGCCCCGCCCTGATTGCGCTCTTCCCAGCGCATGCGCCCCTCGCTGTGTGGCGCATGATCAGAGCGGCACATACTGAAGCATGGATGCAGCGAGTACTTTTAAAAGACTCAGTGGGCGAATAGCGCTGTATATAAACACTTTAACGCAAGAAGATCAGAGGAGATAAAAAGACAAGCTAAAAATAAGTATATGAGACCGAACTAAACAAATCCAAAGCCCAGATGAGACCTGGGATGGCGAGAAAAAACATTGGTCAGACTCACCTCTGTTTTGGCACCGATCTGCTGGGACTTGGACTCGGAGACATTTATTCTTACTTCATAGAAAACCCGGGACCCTTCACTCAACAAGGGTCCGTGGTGAAAATCCATTTCACGTTTTTCACCGCGGTAAAGTGGCCCGGCATTTTGTCGTTGCGGTAAAGTGGTCCGCACATTAAAAGCGGGTTGCTCCTTTTTTCTGTTACTTACGGTAAACGTGGAGCAGGAATCCGTGGGGATGAGCAACCAAAATGCAATGTTTAAAATTAATCATCATTCATGAATGAATTAATGAATGAGTGAACATTAAGTGCACAGTGCAAGTAGTTGCAAAACTTATATTTGTTTATGAATTTTTATCAACTCATTCCCCCGGGTTCCCGTTTTACGTTTACCGTAGGTAACAGCATAAAAGGGCAACCACTTTACCGCGGCCGTTTTATGCTGTTCTTTTCCGAAATAATTAGAAAAAAACTTCATCTGTCCCCAGCGGGCCGTACAACCGACCACATAACAAGAATGGACCATTGGATTTAGTAAAACCTCTCTTCAAACGTCTAAAAATAGCTAACTCTCTAGCATCCAGGTAGCTTTCTATGCTGTAGTGCCACACGGTCACATGACCGGCACGGAAAAACTATGAACTACGACATCACTCCAAGATCCTCCTATAATGTGTTTGATCCAAGCCCCGGCGATCCAAGATGGCGCCCTATTCAAATGAATGGTTGTGCTCAGTGGCGCTTTGTGACAGCATGGGGGCTGAAAGATTAGCGGAAGTCGCCTGAAACTCGCAAAGATCTATGGGAAACTCGCCTGTATTTGGGCATCGTCTGGTCCTCCCGGTTCTGCGCAGTGGATGATCTCCCATAATGCGTTGCGCCAAACACGCGTGTGTGGGTCTCACACCGGGTCTCACGCACGTGCACAGAGGGGCTCGGCCGCGCTCTGACCAATCAGAGCAGTTCATCAGAGCGGGAGATAGAGCGAGAGCCAGAGGAGCAGAATTTGTGGCACTAAAGTGTGGATTTAAACAAAACCGAAGGATTTAAGAAGAAAAAAAGTTCAGGATGACAAGGGACACTAAAATCCCCACAAAATCCTATCTTTATTAAAGCTGTAGGTTCTCTGTCAGCTGAGGTTGAGCTGTTTTAATATGCATTGAGTTCTATGGGGAAAATTTCTGGGTAGCCCACGTGAATTTAGTCTGGTTCAGTCTGCAGTACCGCGAGAATCCCCTGAGCATGTGAGTTATTCAGCTACAAGCTAGTAATACCCTATCCAGTTAATATAATACATCCATGGTTTGATCCCCAGTTCTCGACTTCGTACTCAGTTCCTGTTTGTTTTTTTTACATTCAGTTGAGTTTTGTTTTTGCATTCTTGTTTATTAAATTACTTTATTTTTTTGTCCTCCTTCTTTTTGAAACGTATCGCAATATAACACGACTGACTTGTTAATTTGATACAGAGAGACATATTGCGATCCGTGTAAATCACATCAAAATATATTTTTTGTGAAACTGTGGGAAGTACAGCATTTCCTTTTTTTATTAGAAAGATTCGTGGCAATGTTTGAGGTGGTTCCAGTTCAAAGAATAGCACAACATGAGTCATATCTATTGAAAAAATGTCCCCAAACTGCTTCAAGCACTGAGTGGGAACACCATACTTTCACTTTCTATTTCCACTATATCCAGCCATTGAGGTGAAGTTTTTTTCAAAGATATATTTAGCATGTTTTGTAGTGTGATCATTTTTGTTCTTGCGCATAAATATAATATCGGTTAATCACAGAGAGGAGCTTTAACAGTAGTGCATGGATGGATCTGAAAAACCACTCCAGGTCTGTGACAGAGGAGGGGACACTATTTTAACATTATTGAAAGCACAAAACATGTCTGATTTTGACTGATTTTTTCCAAGTGACTTCCTGCAAAAAAAATAGGGAAACATTCCTTGGTCCGTTCCTTGATCTGTCCGTCTAAACAAAATCAAATTCATGACAGATATTTGGACCAGAAATTACAAACAGTGCCTTCTTTGTGGCTGGACCAAAGCTGTGGAACGCTCTGCCCCCCCCCCCCCCCCCCTTGTTCAAACTGCGGAGTGGAGTGTTTTAAGTCTCGTCTTAAAGGTCCTATATCACGCTTTTCTTCATGTTTCACTGTCTATCCTATGCACATGTGTGACAATAATGTGTCTGATACACCACACAACACTCAACTCAAACGAGCCCGCCTCCCCCCGCCCGCACGGTGACGTAGCATCACTCTCTGAGTTGTTTATCACCGGTACACTTATTTCTGTATATAATGTAAATACTTTGGTCTTTGTCTTCGTCATTTTATGTATTGATGTATATGTATATTTGTCCTTTTGTAAATAAAAATATAAAGAAAAATAACATAAAAACACCGGTACATAGTCATTTCAGACATAAGAATAAACTTTTTCAACAATGACAATCCGTCCCATCAAGCCCTATGTCCTCGATGCACAATTAGAAGTATACGGCGTGTTAGCATCACGGTACTTACAGATGGGGGTCCGTGTTAGCATCACGTTACTTACAGATCGGGGGTCTGGGCATGTGTATGAAGGCCAAATAGCACTGTAATCATGTTTAAAGCAGAGAAAAGTCCAAAATCGTAATATGGGCCCTTAAAGGAATAGGCCACCGTTTTTACATACTGACATATATTCTTACCTTACCTTAGACTAGTTGATATGTACCTGTCTGGTCTTTCTCCGTGCGCTCTGTCTTGCACACGGAGCACAAACGCAGCCTCTTCCACAGACTGTATAGTACCAAATCAGCTCCTGTTAGAAGCTACCAAACTCTTCCACGTGTTCCCTATTCAAATACAGTTACGTGACGTGTTACACTACAAAGTATAGTAACACAGAAATGTAACATGTCGATTTTCTCAGCGGATAAAAAGAGGTACTATATTGTGAGGCGTAATAATACGAGGAGCGCTACGTCCGTGCACTAACTCCTAAAGACTTCTCTCCCACTCACTTCCGTCAATAGAAGCAGCGTGAGCGGGAGAGAAGTCTGTAGGAGTTAGTGCGCGGACGTAGCGCTCCTCGTATTATTACACCTCACAATACCTCATAATGCCTATTCCTTTAAGACCAATTTTTATGCTCTGGCTTTTAACAATGCGTGTGTTGTTAGGTCCTTTTATTTTATTTAATGTTGTTTTATTATTTTTATATTCATACATTATGCACACACAGTTTTTCCTATTTGATTTTTAATGATTTTACTGTTTTACTATGGATTTGTTTTAATTTGTATTTTATTGTGCAGCACTTTGGAAACTGTGTTTATGAAATGTGCCATATACATAAAGCAGATTGGATTGTTTCAGTGTGTAGCAACATTAGGAGGGAAACAGTCATGTGAACTATTAAGTGCACCTGTATACAAACAAAATAAGCTTTAAACATTGTGCACATTGTGTCTGCATAATGGTCGCACTATTTTGAGAATAAACTTGCGTCCCGTAGCTTTATAAACTCTGCTCTGACGTGTGTTTCGTGCTACTCCTTGTCGCTGCTCTTTCTGCTGTTCACATAAACATAAACAGCTGTATTGACATTCTTACCTGCGCCCAGGAGATACTCTACCACAACAAAAATACAAGCATTTGCCGCATTGCTTTAAATGCAGAGTTTGAATAAGTTTAAAAAGTAGAGGTCTATATATAGTCTGGAAATTACAGGTAACATGGATAATTGACAGAAAAGTTGTCTTTCAGGTTTCTGTTGTAATTTTTGCATTAACTTATTTTATTCTGTTTTTCTTTTGATGCAGTCAGGACCACATAGACGCAGTATCTTGTAAGAATGTGTGAATGCTGTTTTAACCTACAGTCCTGCCTGACAAAAACACATGGACAAAAGACATGGTTCGGCATTTTTAATCTTGGTTGCCTTTTCCACAGAGAAGTGATCTTTGAAACAGAGACAGAGCAGAGAGTGCGCTGTTTCTTCTTCCAAAACCAGATCTAAGACTGCAAACGTCTTGTGATGGTACAAGACACACCTTCATGTGCAGATACCAAAGGAAGAATCAAACAGAACATAGGACACTCCGTATTAGCTTACACAAAGCCTGCTTCCTCCTGGTGTTTAACATACAAGCCCCCAGACTTCCTGGAGCCTGAGATGAATCTATCTCAGTATATAATAATATACTGAGATAGATTATATATATGTATATATAATCTATCCACATATAGGAATTATTTAAAGGATAATCTAAACAACATTCCAATGACAGAATGATAGAAGAGCCAAATGTAATAAAATCACAATGGAGCAGACACACTCCAAAAATATGTTGGATCAGACAGACAATAAATGTGGCTCTAAATCTCAACAGCGACGGCTCGATTAACGAACAATTTGCTTTAAAACCGTCCAGTGATTCGTTCTGCACAGATCACCAGGCCGTTCTCCACCAGCACCACCGACTCGTACTCCAAGCTGGCCTGGGCGTTCAGGAAGGGGTTCTGGGCCGCAGTCACAGCCCGACCTGAAGCGTACGGCATCAGCATGAGGTCATCGTCCTCGTCCGAGTCTTCATCCACCTCCTCCACCGTGTAGCCCCCCCCCTGGGAGACGGGGGCATGGCTGACATGCGGGACCGTGGCCAGGATTCTCACAGAGTTCTCGATGAGCCGGTTCAGGGAGGTGAACTCACTCTTGTACTTTGATTTTTTCACTTGGTCTTGTTTCACGGAGCACTTCTGCAGCAGGCTGTCAGCACTCATGAGGGTGGTGTAGAGACTCTGCAGAGCCCCGCCCACCTACACACACAAACACTTCCAGTAAAGATACAGAGTTAAGAGAAAGAAACTGGCATGTGGCCAAGTCTAGACAGCAATGATTTCTGGTATAAAGAAAACTATCTTTTCTTTTCTTTTTCACACACAATTAAATGAAGTTAATGACAGTTTTACAATCTGTGTGTTTTTGTTGTTGTTACCATCCCTCCCCTCATCCCCATGCCACCCACCGTTCCCCAATTTGAGTTTTTATTATAGAATTATTTACAGCTGAATTTAAAGGGCAAAAAAATAAATCAGTCCATAAATTAGAAAAATAAAATAAAAGAATAAAATGAAATCCACAAAAGACAGATACAAATGAAATTAATACAGGTATAATGACACACACACACACTACATACATGTAGCATGCATATATATATATATAAAACACACACATACACGTACACACGTACAGTATGTACTGTATATACACACATACATGCATACACATACATACATACATAAACATATATATATATATACACACACACATATATGCATACGTGTATTTATGTGTATAAAGAAAATGAAGATGTGACAGAGGTCAGAAATACATGCATGAGTTTTAGAGCAAGGAACAAGTAAGATGGTATTTTTACAGAGCTCTGTTGTAAACTTAAATTTGAATGAGTTGGTGTGAGTCAAAGCTGCTGGTACCTGTGGAGTTATGGAGCTGGACGGCCTGTGCTGCAGCGCCTGGACCATCTCCTCCACATGTTGGAGCCTCTGTCCCAGCTGAGAGCAGTGGTTCTTCAGGACTACAGTAACTGGGACCTTGCATTTGATACTCCTGCACTGGGACAGAACCAAGGTTGTGTAGTCCATGTTCGCTGAAAACACAATTCACAACCAACAATGAGAAGAAAACATCTGTGCTGAGGCATATTTACAGTCCATGGTCGGGACGTCCCGCATAGAAAGGAACACTGCACCTACTTCCTTATCCCTGTATCTTTCATGAGACTGGGTCACGAGGTTTGGTCGGGTGAAATCCAACTCTTTTTAAATTTGCCACACAGGTTAATAAAAGTGAGAAGGAAGACCAGACAAAGGAAATATTTTAGCTGAATTCAGATGCAGGGCATGTCCCAGATGTTAGTTCACTTTTTTACCTCTTAAACATTTCCTAAAATCATTTGTGATCAGAGACCATGACATTCTCACGGACAGCGACTGGTTTGTTTTGAACAGACAAATATATGTTGTGTTCATGACAAACACTGTAGTTAACGAGTCACAAAACTTAGATACAGCTCAAATTTGAATATATATGTGTATATGTGTATATACAGTATATATATATGAATATATATGTGTATATACAGTATATATATATAAATATATATGTGCATATATATATATTTGAAAGGAAAAAGTGAGAGGATAGAATCTGCTCCCCATGTCTTACCTTGAAGTGTGACAGGTCGTGACTGTGACAAACAGAAAGTAAAAACATTTATAGATAGAAGGCTCAGGACCAGCCCTGCCTGCGGTATCACAGAATCACAGTCAACCAACCACGATTGTTAAATATGAGAACAATTAAACCTTATCATTGAGAGGGTTTTTTGCTCATAGTGAATTTGAGGCAGTGATTATGGCTGCATTTTATGATATTGACAGCACAGGGTGGAGCAAATATTTACAGGAACATATTAAGGACATGGTGAGAGATGTATTCGTAGAGAGGGGCCTGCTTCAACCTCCTGCAGACCTGCTGACCTCCCTGTTCCTGAGCTGGATCCTGCTTCGTCTGCTCTGGTCTCTTCAGACATTGAGTCGATCTGTGGTCGCTGTGGCCTTTGCAGATCAATCCATTCATCGGCCTGGGCTCAAGAAATGATAGCTCTTTGCCCTATTGGAGCGTTTGTATGTTGCATGTTGATTTGAGATCAACATGTTTATGAGTGGAGGTGTTATCTGGAGCTGCCACTCAGACCTGTTCCAGTTCCAGGCTCACTTTCTGGATTTCCAGCCTGCTTCGTCTGTCCTGCTGGAAGCCTGTATAAGAACACACCTTGACTCCACCCATCTCTATCCCTCTGTCCTGGCAGCAGCAGCCCTGCTGTGCTGACCACCAACACCTATTGATTTTCTTTGTGTATGCCGAACAACGCATGTATGTATGTACAGTATGTACATAAAGATTTGTTGTGGTTAGGCCTTTAGGCCTCACCTCTCCACTGCTGAGATGCGAGCGGACAATTAATGCAACACAACCATTCTAATGTGCATTCTAATATTCTATTCCAGTTAAATAATGATATTGCATTAGTAGTTGCTGACCCCTAATATTACAATCTTAATTAAGGTGCTCTGCAGGGAGCCTAAATGTGATTGTAAAATAAAATCAAGTAAAGTAAAGTACATGAGGTTCTGTATCCTCTTTGATGGTGAAGCGGCCCCTTCTTCTTGTGTGAACTGCTCATTTGGCTCAAAGATGTTATACATCTAAAAGTTTTTTTAGACAAGATAGACATACTAAACAGCGGTGGACCACGGAGTGTGTTTATGCTTCTGTTCTGTTTTTGAAAAAGAATAACACATTGATTAAAAATACACAAAGCTGCTTCTCATTTCAAACTTTTATTAGACGAAAACAAAACGAGACAGAACATTACACAGTGCGGCTGTTGGTCAGCAGCGCGGCTTCTCCTCCTGCTCCGCGCTCTTGGAGACGAAGAGGCGTTTGAGGAAGAGCAGCTGCAGGTATCCCGAGGTGAGGATGAGGAGGCTGAGGCCCAGGGACATCCACGACACGTACTGGGAGTTGGACAGCAGCAGGTAGTAGTCAGCGCTCTTCTTCATGCGGCTGAACGTGTAGTAGCGAAACATGTGAAAAACGTACATCTCCACTTTGTTTGTGGCGTCCTGCAAATGTAAACAATCAAAGACGTGAAGATTCTTAATGGCAGGCTTGTCAAACTCAGGCCCGTGCGCTAAACCCGGCCCTCAAGACCACTTTAGCAGCCCTAACCCTATGTTTTATAGTTAATAGTCCTTTTGATATTTGGCATAATTTTGGTTGAATCCAAACCTACCCTAAAACAATATCCAAACCCATGTCAAATTAAATTAATTTGTAAAAATACAAAAATATGTAAAAAGAATTAATGATAAGAGAAGGGTCCGTGTACTTTTGCGTTCAATACATTTTCTATTTTTGAAGGGAAATGGAAAATCGAAAAAAGGCTATTTTGCATTTTCAGGCACACAGCAATATACAAAAATGACCATTTTGGTTTTTTTCATTGCTTATATGACATATATATATATATTATGCTAACTGGATTTGGGAACTAGAAAATGCAATAATTAACCTTTTTTAATATGTATTGAATACATTTCGTCCTCAATCGATTACCCGGAAGTGAAACAAGTTTGTTTACTTCAGGCATATTCGCTCTAATTTAGTATAATTTAATATGCAAATGACCTCCTGTATTTGTCCAAACACAGACGTCCTGTGATAATACTAATCCTGTGTGAATCTGCATGTCAGTGATTGTGATCGCTATGGTCCCTTTCTCTTTACTTTCTGCGTTGTTTTTGTCAATGAGCAGAGGAGTCGCGGATCGCGGCTGTGTACACAGCTGCAGAGTCGCGGCTGCTGCTGTGAGGTCTATGGAGAAGTGTAGAGGACAGTGTAATGTGTTCACTGACACTAAATGATCAGACTGATGGGTTGTGTTTGTACGTTTACTTTGCACTCTGTCCTAATACAGTACAGACGTGTTGAATATATATATGTATGTGGTTCACGAGTAGTCTATACAAACTATTATTAAACATTACAGACAGTATGGGCCAGAGAACTGTAGAGCAGTAAAATGTTTGTCCTCATGTCTCTGTGGCTGCTGTGGTCAGACGCAACTCTCTGGACTGCGTGAAGTGGGTAGACCCGCACACGTGCGGCCGTTATGTGAGATGTCAGTGAAAACAGTATTTTACAGATATTGCTTATCCCGTGTGAATGCACTGCAAAATCTCAGACGTCCTCCACCATTATCACAAATTATCAGGGGTCCACAGGTGATTCTAATCTCGTGCAAGTAAACAAACTTCACTTCCGGGTAATCGTTGACGCCAAAATTTATTAAATACATAATAAAAAAGGTCAATTATTGCATTTTCTAGTTGCCAAATCCGGTTATTTTAATATATATGTGTCTTACAAGCAATGAAAAAAACCAAAATGATCATTTTTGTATGTTGCTGTGTGCCTGAAAATGCAAAATAGCCTTTTTTCGATTTTCGATTTCCCTTCAAAAATAGAAAATGTATTGAACGCAAAAGTACACGGACGGACCGAGAAGAAAACCACTTTTATATTTTCACCGCAGACAGAAATCAGTTTGACGCTCCACAGCTCAATAAGGTTCTTGACAGGTTCATACAATCTCAGAAACTCGGAAGCCCCTATTTCCTACTCGGAAAAATGCACTGAACGCAGCTCAACTTAGAAACTCAGGTTGTAACTGGGGCTGTCTGTTCTTTTCCTGTCTTTTTAATGTCTATGGACCATTGTATTATATGAATAAATCACACGGACGGTTTTATCTTGCAAAATAAACCCATTTAAACCCAAAACCAATTTTCAGCTCTTTTACCGAGCACAACCCCTTGTTATTTCACATGAGTTCAGTTCATATTCAACAATGCACACACAATGGTCTTTATAGCTGGAGCCAAATAAACAGTGGTGTCATATTACAGCTGTGCACTTTGAATTTGAGGGACCCAGAAAATGAAAGAAAAATGGGAAAGAGAAGAAGAAAGTCCACAGCAGGGCAGAGTTTAGCGCAGACAGTGGAGAGAAGGTGCTGCTCCAGAGAGATTTGACACCCGCTGAGAGAGAGAGGTGTGGCCGAGTGATACTATAATACTATAATCATATAAACTGAGGAAGGCATGTGGGCCTGATAGAAACAAGCAAAATGGCCGCAATTGACCCGTGGGCCGGCGTTTGCCCACCTCTGTTCTAATACCTCTATGACGCTGAGAGTGTTGTTGAGGTCCCGGTCGTCCTGCTCTTTCTTCTGTTTGCTGGAGTCTTCGTATCCGTTGTAGTGCACCCCGAAACTCAAGAACACCTGCAGCATCCCGAAGCGGTTGTGGAAGTTACTGAAGCACATCTGGTAGAAGCCTGGACGTGTGACAAAGGAAACGTTTTATTTGGATTGAGAAGTGTCCGAGTGGTCCTGCTTCTATCACTAGTTTTATATTTGTGCATTTTTGGCCTCTGTCACATTTTTATATCAGTTCTTTCAGACAGAAAAGGGAAAAACAAAAGACCACCCTCACTCAGCCAATCAGCTCTCAGCCCAGAGCTTGAAAAAGTGACTCACAGAGCTCCTACAAAGAATGAAAGACAAGCAACTTGGATCGTTTATAAGATTGGTGCCTCAGCTGGACCAAAATGTCTATTAAAGGTACTCTGTGTAATTTTTATAGTTGCTCCAAATGAAAGAAAATGTAAACCAATGACAAATGTGAGCTTTTTAAGAATATTTACCGCCACCATGTTTTTGAATTGGTGTCACAGACTCAGAAATTGATTATAAATGTCCATGAGAGGTGGAAGACTCAATACAGTGGTTGATAAGGGACAAAAAGGATGATGCCCGGGAGTTGGGGGACCGGAACTGGAAGGTTTTTTGCCAAGAAACATTATCTTTTGTGGTAGTTGTGGATGAGCTCCTTTATCCTCTCCAGGCTGTCATGAGCCCTGTTTCCACCAACACGACTCTGCTCTACTCTACTCTTCTTCGATTACGCTTTAGTATCTGTTACCGTATACAGTATATTGGCAACTGACCCACAACAAAACAGTGCCTGGGAAAAAAAACAGACTATTGAGACCTGGGGATGGAGACTTCTGGGTAAGTAGGTTCTAAAATAGAAAACATGTTTATTTGACATTAAATTTCTTCACACAACTAACAAAGAGTGAAAGAATTGTTTTTGAGGTATTATTCACAATCTCTGATATTTGGCCAATAGTTTTTTCGAATGTTCTGCCTGAGGGCGTAAACTTTGCAGCTCGACTCTGCACAAACCAGTTTCTTGGGCCTCAAAGCGGATCTGACCCGTGGCCTCGTCTATCGTGTGGAGCAGCAGACCTCCGGGTGAGTTCACTGTGACCGAGAGGTGTCTGTCATGGCCCACGCCGGTCACCCACTGCACCTGGAGACACACACACACACAGACACACACACACACACACACACACAGGGGAGAGACACACAAACACGATGTCAGGACTCACCACTATATAATGCCTCTAGATTAGACAAAATAATATATATTTTCAATTAACTCCAGCTTTCCCTAGCAACCGTCTTTGCAACACATCTGCCCCGGTTATGGTGCAAAGTTAACGCAGCTGAAGAAATGCCCATATAAGGACATTCTCTCCAGCTAGTTTATATTCAATCCTACTAAATGTTTTCATATATATAAAGAAGTAGAACATCACTCATCAATTGCTGGAGCAGGTGCGTAGGAGAGGGGGAAAGAGTCCCGGGGCGCATGAAAAAAATAATGGTTCCCGCACACTGCTGTCCTTGCAAAAATTATTACGTTTCAGTCCTGAGACCTTCATCAGGCAAATTGCAAATGTCTAAATGGCTTTCTGTAATGAGTCAACGCTAAAGCAGGGGTGTCCAAACTTTTTAGTAAGAGTTCACCAGTAGGGCTGACAACGCGGACTGTAAAACTATTTTTTGACTGGAATTGGTCCATTTTTGAGATGTACAAGGAGGTATGACATGACCATAGCTGCGGCTACAGTAGTAGTTAATCAGCACCGTGTTTGGCGTGAAAGAATAATGACATGTGAAGCGTCTTTGAGTGCCCAAAAAGCGCAAAATAAAACCGATGTATTATTACTATTATTATTATTGTCTGTTTTATCTAAATGGTACTTTAGGTTAGCAAGGCGGAGGGCCACATAACAGGACGCTGCGGGCCGCAATCGGCTCTCGGGCCTGAGTTTGGACACGCCTGCACTAAAGGGTTGAAGAAGAGTTTACCTGTGATGACATTTTTTCAACACACAACAATAATATGAGCAGATTGAAAACACAAACACAATCGTCACTCTTTCTGCTCTCACCATGAAGTTCAGGTAGAAGATTTCTCCCCTGTGAGCGAAATGCCAGAAGCACTCCAGCCCAGAGGCTCGCAGCACCACAGAGAAGTCGTACTGATCGGCCCCCCAGAACAGCTGCTGGTCCGTGATGTTCTCATGCAGCGACGTCTGGGGCCCACACTGCACCGGGGGCCCCCACACGACCAGGGCCAGCAGCCACACGCAGCCACTTCTCTTCAGGCTCATGCTGAGGCTTTGAGAAGAGCAGGGGCCGAGCGTGCCGAAGGGAAAACACACAAGCAATGATTAACAAAGACTCATGGGAAAAGAAGGAGAGAGGACAGATGGACCAACGCTGGGGTTTGAGGCTTTGTAAAACACCTGGACATGAGCAGAATGAGATGGAGTAAGGTTTAGACAAAATTATAAAGCAATAATCAGATATAGAGTACAATTTAGTGTGTGTATGTGCGTACTGTAAATGCATGTGTGTATGTGCTACTTTGTGTATGAAAATGTTGTACACAATTTAGTTTTTGTTTGGTTTTTTCTCTTTCCCTTCTTTCCTTTACTTATTGTACAACCTTTTCTCACTTTTAAATTTAAAAATAAAATGAGATGTGTTGTTAATTAGGTGTAAAAAAAAACGTGTATAAAAGAACAGATAACTTGCAAAAACAGATCAGTGCAATTAGAATAGAAATATTTGACAGGCTTACAAACTGCTTTTTACCAAGTAGTTTTTTGAGAATCCAGATAGTTTAGTTTAGTCTTTCAGCATTCAGCATCATACTGTACATTGGAACCATACTTCACACATGAAGCATATGACATCTCAGACAGGTATAGTTACACTAAGATCTATTTTTTTACTTCTTTAAATAGCAAAAACCTTCCACAGAAGCACAAAGCGGAGATGGGAGCAGGGGGTCACCATTCAGGAGGCCTATGTTGGACCTATTGTACATGTGTTTAGTGGTAGATGGTAATGGCAAATGGGGGGAACCTGTGCAGATACGAAAAGAACATGCAAACTCCACACAGAACAACCTTGTCTGTGGGTGGAACCAAACCCAGGACCTTCTTGCTGTGAAGCATAAGGGCCAACCACTGCGCTTGTGCGGATAGTTGCTTCCAATTTTAAAAACTGAGACATAATTTGTAAATGAACGGTTAATTCGTAACTCACTGACTGCCAGCCGCTTTTGATGATTTCACTGATTCTCAAGCCCCACAGAATATTATGTGCTATGACTATGTAAAATATGAAACCAGATCATGAAGGACTGGACTGTCTACTTTCATCAGCAAAAATAAGTTTGTTTCTAGCTAATTTTATTGTCCTGTAATCCCCAGTCGAATAGAGGGAAGTTTGACAAAGATCACCATTCTCAGACAAATACGTCAATGGCAGTCAATGAGATAACTTCAACATCTTATTATTTAGAAAATTAAATACATGTTTTAAAAAATTGTTGAAAAAAATATTATACTTCATTCAAACGATATCAAGTATGTGAGTCCAAAAACAATGCTACCATACTTTAAGCCATTACTAATGAACAAAAATATGTGTTTACAGCGCCGCCCGGGGGTGCAATAACAAACTCTGCAGGTGGAAACTTGTTGCCCATGTGTTATCTGGTGCAAAACATGAAGCAGCTTCTTTTTTTCTTTTTTTTTAAGTCTATCAAGTTTTAGTAGGGATGGAGCATTTACCAGAAAACCTGCGGCTTATATTCAAGTGCGGCTTATATGTGGACGACATTTATACAGTTTTCATATAATAGCTCAGACCAACAAAAGTCAAAATCAAAATGTTTATTATCAGTTCGGGTTATCGGGTGACAATTAAATAAGGCACATTCACATAATTTCAAAATAAAACATGGTGCAAAAATAACAAATTCCACTCGACCACATTCAAAAACAGGGACAGATTTTCGACTTCAATTATAAGTGGTTCATTTTGAATACACACACAGTACATACTGTACAACTCAGATTTTGGACTTCACAGAAATTATTTTGATAAGGTAAAGGGCGAAGTGTTTAGTTTTGCATCCTAAAGCCAACGAGGAAATTGTGTTAAAGCTGGGGTACCTAAATTCTAAACCACAAAAAGTGAGTTCCATTTCTAATACAGTTTGGTTCTATTACTAGTTTTGAGACCCAACCTGCAGGTGAAAGCCAGATCTCATACAACCTCTGAAGCTAAGCAGGACATGACCTGGTTAGTTCTGCGATGGGAGACCTCTGGGAACCACAGTGGGGTGGCTGTAGCGTGCCAAACTCTTGTTGTGTGCGTAAATGGTTCATGGTGGTTGGATGGGCTGATGGTGCATACTGGTTGCCTCGCTTCTGTTCGCTGTATCTATGGAGTGAATGATTTATGCCAAAAAAGGCTATATAAAAACCAACGCATGTAGCTTTCCGATGCATGTTTTTGGCCCATGTCACATCTTAAGCTTCATTCAGCCAATCAGCTCTCTGCCCTAAGCCTCAAACGGTAAGTCACAGTATGCAACAGTTTTCTAATGAGATAAATAACGTTGCAAAAACAAAATGTAGAGTTGGAAAAAGTTAGGTACACCAGCTTTAAGTCACTGTTTCTGGTTGCCATTTGAAAAACAGTCATTAACCAAAACAAGTCAACCTTTTTTCTATTGATGGGTCAAAGTAAGCTACCCATTCAGTCACTTAGCTTGAATGGGTCACTTACTTCCTCACTTCTTAGCTCGTGTCCGTACACACAGGAGCTAGCTTACCTCTCTGATGCACTATGGTGAAAAGGCAAAACAAAAACATTGCATAAATCCATTCCGTTGAACAATGAACCAGTCTCTAACATTCAAGTAAAACAAAAGCACGTTCAGAACAAATCGTCCACACTACTACGCGGCGGTCGCTCAGAAATGCCAAAACAGCATACATCCCTTTAAATGTGCATGAAAAAGAAAAAAAAGTGCTTTGATATGTGTAAAGTAGGCGTGTGTGTTGAACCTAAAGAAATACATGCATTCGAACCTGTTTACATTTCATACTGTACTTTATAATTGAATAACGATTATGTTGGCCACTTCCAATCTTGTGCTATGATCCAATTCTTTTAACCAGCGCGATACATTTCAGAAAATATGTTATGGAATTAGTAACACCAACACCAAACAAGAAAAGCTTGGATATTAAACCACCTTGACAAATATGTTTTGTCAGTCGTTTTGGCTAGTTATTGCTCATTTGTTGTACCGTAATTGCTGGACTATAAGCCGCTACTTTTTTTTGGAACGGTCATATATGATTTCATGATTATTATTATACTATTTTTTTTCTCTTTCAATTTGTATTTGTATGTATTTTGGAATAATAATTTTCCTTTATATGATTAGTTTGTCATTTGGCTATAATTCTATGCATCGTGAATCCCATCTATTTTCATCTTTTTTGTATTCTCTTCATTCTTTTTTGTATTCTCTTGTCATGTAGGTGTGTATGTGTGTATACCAGATATAATTAATTGTAAATATTTGAAAGGCTCTGACCGCTGTGGTTTATGTTTATGTGAACAGTAGACAGAGACGATATGCGGAAATGCAGGGAAATACACAGGACTTTTTTGTTGTTCTGTTGTCAGAGTTTATGTAGCTACAGGATGCAGGTTTATTGTCAAAAAGACCAGTAACAACAACCGTCTATGTTTTGGATCAGCGGCTTGTATTGCAGTGTGGCCTATATGTGGACAAAATGTAGCTGGTGCGGTTTACATACAGGTGCGCTTCATAGTCCAGCAAGTACAGTATATTGGTGATTTGAATAAAAACAGAACAGTCAAAGTCCATATTGTTGTGCCTGAGACTTTTACATGAGTGCTTTCATTGTTTAACGACCTACTTATTTGTGTTGTTTCATGCTGCTACTGTAAACAATTGTAACTATAGGAATACGACTAACGAAGCTATAATTATCTTTACCCCCTCCTCGAGTCTGTTTGGAGTTTAGGAGCCGGTTTACGACATAGATTAGAGGCGTTTTCGTTGGTGTCAAAAGGAGTTTTTAACAACAGGGAAAAGTTGTGAAAAGGATACAGCTTTCCGATGATGATTTAACTTCCTACGTGCTTACTGGATTGGTTTACGTGGAATTTATAAAGCTCAACTTTCAGAGCTCAGAGAAAGGACAACTGCAACAGAAATATATTTACTTCAATTAAAGCTGGGATACCTCACTTTCAAACTAAAACACTACAACCAAAATGTAATGCAATACGCAATAAAATAGTGAAAACAGTTCAAAATGTTTGGTTCTATCCCTAGTTTTCACACGTATTGTATTTTTGGCCTCTGTCAGAAAATTGATTAAAAAAAATAAAAAAAAGAGAAGATGGCCCTTGCTCAGCCAATCAGCTCTCAGCCAATCAGCTCTCAGCCAATCAGCTCTCAGCCAATCAGCCCTCAGCCAATCAGCCCTCAGCCAATCAGCCCTCAGCCAATCAGCTCTCAGCCAATCAGCCAAAAGCATCAAATAGGGCTCTTTCATATGTAAAAAAATTTTATATGTCGGTCTGATTTTTCGACAACATTGTACTTTTACAGGACTCTTTCCGTTTACATGTGTTATATATGAAACAAAAAAGTGAGTTACTCCAGCTTTAATAGTAGAAACAAAGCTGTATCATCTTACACATATTTTCCCATTGATCCTGTGATATCAACCGGAAAACTACAATCTAACCCGGGCGTTACTTTCAGCTTGTGGTATTATCTTTTGCACAGATCTGTGGCGGTGCTGCTGCCTCTTCCCTTGATAGACCGGGGATGTCGAGCCGGGTGGGGCGCGGTGGGTGGCTCTCCTCTTCGCTGCTTGTCAGTAAGTGCGCGCTGGTGTCGGACGTCCCGTTGGAGAACAAGTCGTGCGAGTGTGTGGTCTCCGGTGGCGAGGGCGTGTCAGAGCTGAGCCTGGCGGGCAGTTCAATCGGCGGCTGTGCTTGGGTTGTGTCGGATTGCGTTTTGTCCAAGTCCTCGTTGGTTCCCGTCGAGTCTTGGCTGGATTTGCGGGTGCTTTGGGGGGAGTTTTTGAGTGCCTCTTTTCGCTCTGAGGCCGGGTTCGCTCCGGAGTCCAGTGTGTGGCGGCGACACAGGCGTGGCCCGGAGTCAAGGCTGTCCGCTGGGGTGCTCACGTCTACGGTCTCTCCCCGGCGCAGCCTTCTCTGCTCAGAGTTGGCCTACGATCACAAGACATAGAATTCCTGATAAAATAATCCCCAATATCGGTCTGCTATACTGCAAAAACATGTCAAGTCTGATTAAGTCTTGTATAATCTTACAATGCATCCAGTCCACAGGATGAACGCATTCCAAATAAGAGTGCCTGGAATGCCGCTTGCAGGCAACAGTCATCAAGTATAGACTAAACCATTATATTGTATAATCTCAAACATTTCTTAACTGGAAATAACTACACATTATATATAATTTGAGATACAGTGAAGGAAGACTCAGTGTGTTGACCTTGTGTTACCATCACTACACTTTTAATTTGGTTAATTAACGACAAAGTATCTGGCAAACACCAAAGCCAAGATATAATTCGGACAAAAACATCAAGAACTGAACCTGGTTGAGATTTGGAGATCGGTTTGGTGAATGACCAGAGGAGGCTCTCTTCATCTTTTGAATCCTGGAATACAAAAAAAAGAGTCGCATTAAAAAGTCTTCTTGGTTTCAGAGCGGTGAATGAGTTTTCAGACAGACTCAGACCTGCTGATGGACTGGGCCAGTTTGTGTCTCCTCCCGTTGCCGTTGTCCTGAAGCCGGAGCCGCTGCACAAACGAGTGGGCTACAGATGTACGAGGAAAGATCCATCAATCACAGATGGATGGAATCATAGAGTTCTGGATGTTAGCGGGACTTTCTGGATGTTAGCGGGACTTACCCAGAGCTCCTTTAGGCACAGACAGAACTTTGATGGGTTCAGCATCAGGAGACAGTCCAGAGGCTTTCTGTAGGGCCCTCAGGATCTCTGTGTTCTGTCAAAGCAAACACATTTTAGTAATTTAAAAATAGTATTTACTATGCATAATTTTTGGCCACAAACATTGATCAGTCATGTTTTAGAATTTCAAAAATTATCTTAAGTAGAAAAAATGAATGGTGAAACAAGTATGAAGGGTTAAAAAAAACAAAAAACGTTCTACTTGTAATCCTTTATGCTACCACCAGAGGGAGTGACAGCATTGAAGATGAAACGTGGCTGAAAGAATGGGCCAAAATACAAGCTACAGTGTGTGGGAACCTGCTGAAGACTAACGGGAATCAAATGACCTCTGTTATTAATAACAAAAGGATACATTACAAAGCACCAAGTTGATCTGGTTAGTGGTGAAAAAGTTCTCAGTTTCAAGAGGGGGGATTTACACACTTGCCAACTGCCGAGTTCTTATTTGCCCCACTGTATATTGGCATTTTGAAAAACCAGTAAATGATCTTGCTGAAGATTCCAAAGCTGCGAGTGTTGGCCTATTACAGCTGACAGATGCTCTTCAAGGGGCTTGAGGGCATGTACCGTATGAGAAGCTCTGAGGGAATTATTTCTTTGAATTCTGCCCCAGTCTCTTTTCTATGTTTCAGATGATCTAGGTCAGGGCTCTCCAACCTGTAGCTCAGGAGCCACTAGTAGCTCGCAACCCTCTTCCCTCGCCAAAAGATTTAGAGATAAACAAAATAAATGATATACTTAATTTATTGTAAATATTATTGAAAATACACTTACTTTGAGCACTAGCAACAAATATGTGATGATAAATAATGACTGTACCCAATATCAGACTCGTTCACACCAAGATATCATCAATTTTTTCCCATGGCAACTTAAAGGAGTAGCTCTCTGCTTTTATCGTCCCGGGAAAGTAGCTCTCTGGGTGAAAAAGGTTGGAGACACCTGATCTAGGTACTCAGCCGTTATAGATTCTACAACTTAGTCTTTCAGTCACTTTCACCACAAATGATGCGATTGCTGCAGTTGAATTGAAGGATAAAGCGTGGTACCTTTCCTCCCAGTTCGTAGGCACAGTCCAGGGCTGTCCTCTGCCTCTTGTTGCGCAGCCCTGGAGAGGCCCCGCTCCGCAGCAGCAGCTCCACCAGAGCCTGGTGACCCCCCCTCACCGCCTCATGGAGAGCCGTGTTCCCCTGATTATTGGCCACATTCATCAGCGCGTTACTCTGCACAACAGACAACAGTTATGTTCACTTGAGAGGCTGTGGTTAGTGCTTCAACTTGTAACATGAAACTAAATCATTTGCATTATTACAGTTTGTAATTCATTCAATATACTTTATTGCCAAGTCCATTTTATATTGTTACACATTATTTTACTGCGATAGAGAAAATACATATCGGATTGTATTTGAATGCCATCTTGTAGTCTTATCTCTTGCATTCTGTAATTTGAGGACAACAAGCCGCTACTTTATTCAGGTTATTTAAACAATTTTTGTTGTTGTTAAAGGTGCAGTAAATGATTCAGGTTGGCTTTTAGCAGTAGCATCCGGGTAACACCATTGACTGAATCTTTAAGAAAAGATTTAGACAAAACTCAACAGATGGAAAATCGCCGTCTAGCCATAATCTGTAACACATCTGTCTATCTGAGCTGAATGTCTCTGTACAGTGTCCCTTCAAAAAGATTAACAATAACTATCAGCTGTTGATCTCCAGAGCTAATGATAAGGCTATTGTGGCTGCTGCTTGTCACTCACGACTAACATAAGACATTGTGAAGCGACAAAGGGTCTGGAGGCTATCGAGATCAGAAAGTTCAACGTGTATTTACCTCTAGAAGAGTGGTGGCAATCTCCATGTTTCCCCTGAGACAGGCCTGAATCAGAGGAGTGTTCCCAAAGTGATCCTTTTTGTTGAGTTTGGCGTTACACTCCAGAAGGATTCTCACCACCTGCCAACAGACATTCAGTTAAGACTATGTCAAGCCATACTTTCTCCGCCTCAGACATAATCAATGCAGTGGACAATGCACACACAGATTGTTATTATTACATTTGCTTTGTTCGACCCGTTTCAGGTCACAGGTCTTTGAAGCTCTTTCCAATGCATTTTGGAGTACTATTGTGCATATATTTAGTGGTGGGGAAACCGGAGCACCCAGATGAAACCTACACAGACATGGGGAGAGCATGCAAACTGCACTCCGAAAAGACCCTGTTATGACCGGGAATCAAGCTCAGAACTTCTTGCCGAGAAACAAGAGCACCAAGGGTTTCAACCCGGATTTGTATCAAACCAGTGAACCTCAGATTTCGCCTCCTGTTCACCCCGTTCTCTTGAAAAGGCAGTCTTTTGTATTTGGATAAAAGGATCCACTGACACAAAAGAAGAAAAAACGTAATCTTATAATAAAACATGACCATGAGAAGGTAACCTCGTCAATCAATTCAATTCAATTTATTCTGGTGTAGCCATAAATCACAACAGTAGTTATCGCAGAGGACTTAACAAACCGTTGAATTCGCCAACACAAATCAGAGAATCAACAGTTAAAACACAAGAAATGCAACTACAGTATAAAAACACATAGAGCCACTGGTCCTAAAGGGGCACCGTCCATAAATGTCATAACACAGCAGTATGGCTCTTGCTGAAGTGTGCGTTCGCAGCCTCTGACCTGTGCGTGGCTGTTCTGGCTGGCCAGGTGCAGGGGGGTGGCACTCTGGGTGGTCCGGCCGTTCACGTTGGCTCCGTGTCGGATCATCAGAGAGAGCAGAGCCGTGTGTCCGTGCAGCGCGGCCACGTGAAGAGGAGTGAAACCGTCCACGTTACTGCTGTTCACACCCAGGGAGCCAGGGGGCGCCGTGGACATCTGCACAGAGGAGAGGAGAGAAGATGAGGAGAGAAAAGACTTTATATTTCCATGACACAAGAACAACATTTGAATTCGGCAAAACTATCTTCTTTATCTTTCCTCATCCAATTTTCTTTTAAAGTGACTTTTTATGACACAGGAAAGCTCCGGGTGAAGTTGTAGGGCCTTATCTCCAGATATTGATGCTCTGCTTTTTAAAGAGAATTTTATCTATTTTATTATTTAGCATTAAAACTACACATTTCAGTTATTTAACTTATTTTCTTTATTGTAAAATGGATTTGTTCTTTGGAAAAATGTGACTGAAGCTCTAATGTACATAGCGACCGAAGCAATTAATAACTACTACTAGACACAGGGAGGACATGCAAACTCCACTCAGAAAGGCCGTGTTCTGACCGGGATTCAAACCCAGGACATTCTTGCTGAGAAGCGAGATTGTCCACCATTCATCCAACGTGAATTATAACACCTTTTTAAGATGTTTTTAATGCTACTTAGGTCACAATACATGTCACAATACATGTCACAAAGGTCGAGAAAAACAAGAAGGAAAGACTATGGAGAATAAAGAAGGAGGGATATTTCCGAATTTGGATGCAGCCATATTTTTTTGTAGACAGAATCATCAATAGTTCAAATTTAAATTTTCAATCTGTTTGAAATACGATAATAATTGATTTGAAAAACAACTGTTTTGTGTGTACAAATGGGCGGCACGGTGGCTGAGTGGATAGCACTCCCGCTTCTCAGCAAGAAGGTCCCGAGTTCAAATCCCAGTCGGAACAGGGCCTTTCTGAGTGGAGTTTGCATGTTCTCCCCGTGTCTGCGTAGGTTTCCTCCGGGTGCTCTGGTTTCCCCTACCACTAAAAACATGCACAATATGTATGAATGTATGAGTGGGTGAATGGATGGTGATGATTGGGGGCTGATGGTCCAGTGTGTTCGGCCACTCGCTTCTGTCATCTCCGTGTGTGGAATGATTGGAACATTATCTGAACATTGTAAAGCGCTTTGGATGACCTTGGTCTGTAAAATGTGCTATATAAACATTACTTACTTACTTACTTACAAATATATTCTACTGTTCTGGCAAGGGCTATAACTTTTTACCATTGGTATGTAAGCAACACATATTTTTTTTTAGCACATAAGAAGTTAAATCATAATAGCCACAGAATAACTTCAAATTCCACATCTGCTGGTATAAAGGTGGTTAACAGTTTGTTGGAAGCAGTGTGGTACCTTCTGTGTGGGAGCGCAGGTGGAACACTGGCACAGAGGGTGGCACAGAGGAGCCTCCGATCTGAGCTCTGCCTCCTCCTCCTCCGCTTCATCCATCCACTCCAGCAAGTACCGCACCTGCACCACGCACAACACAACAGTGACGCTCCTGTTCACCATTTAAACACCATAATCTCAATCTCCTTCCAGCTCCTTGGCCAAACAAACTCACCATCTCCACATCTCCATCCGCTACAGCTCGCAGAAGCTTCTCCACCTGTCCAAAAAAAACCTTATTTTGGATTCTTCGCATAATAATAACATTGCATCGGTTTAACATAGCGCTTTTTTAAGACACTTAAGAGATGTCATTATTCTTTCACTCCATACACAGTGGCTTTAAACTACAACTTTAGCCACAGCTGCCCTGGGGCACACTGACAGAGCCAAGGCAACCAGTACATACCAAGGCAAACCAGTACGTGCCAGATCACCAGCACTCATACTATGCAATGTGGGTTAAATATCTTGCCTAAGGACACAAAAACAGTTTGGCACTTTACAGAGACACCCACCCCACTGTGAGGTCTCCCATCACAGTACTAACCAGGCCCTGCCCTGCTCAGCTTTTGAAGTCTGACAGGTGCCACGACTTGACCCATTAAGTCACACACTGATTCGGTCGCGTTGAAAGTAGGTGTTGTATCATCAGATCTTTAGCGATGTGCGGTTACCTCTCGGTGCCGGACCCTCTCAGTCTCTGGTTTGACCTCGGAGCCCAGGGAGGAGTTACTGGACACAGAAGAGCGTCTGCTGCTGCAGTCTGAGGCTAGAGGGGAGCAGTTGGGGGACTGGCCAACACAACACAATTCAAACAGAGGAAAAAAATCCAATTTAAAAGATGGAAGTACAGTAATTGTCATACTTTAAGCCACTACTTTTATCTTTATATGTGTAATCTTTTACTCTGGTCAAGTATCTTTTTGAAATGGCTTGAAAGGCATTACATAGATACACTTTGCATTGATTATATCTTAACAACATTATCTGTCATTTCACGACAATACACTGGGCAACAATGTGCAAGGTGATTATGTGGGGTCCAAGTTTTTATGGATTATTGGGAAAAACCGATTATCACATGTATGGCTAGTTTATCAATTAGCTTATTTGTGTAAGTTACCAAGCCCCTTGTGGTAACTGGTAATGTTTTACAATCTCACAATAACAATTGCAGGGAATAATTGAAACCAACAAGACTCCATAGATGCCATTAGTGTTTGAAAAAGTTTGCTCTTGCATCAAATTGGACGAGTAAATAAAACAAGGTCTGAGAGAAATACAAAACCCTCACATCGGCTGCATTACTGCTGCAAAGACTTTCGTTTTGAGCCGACTGCAACAACAACAGGATCTGAGTAGAGATGAGGAGAAAAACACAAATTCTGGTCATTTCTTGAATTGTTGAAGCACATCAACTCCTGGATTTAAAGTGGCATCTTTTAAAAATGATAAATAATCCAAAGAAAACAAATGTCTTTTGCGTTATTTATCCAAGTAATGAAAGACGTACACAATAATTGCATAAAATGGCCATTTAAGTGGTGGCAGAGGCCGTTAGAAAACCATAGAGAATGTCTGGGAAGTTCAGAACTAAAGCAGATTACAGATTTTTTATATCCAGGAAGAAAATTGAGGAGAGGACATTTTTTGTAGATATGTATGTAATAACATGGTGTGAATTACAAATACAAAATGGCCCTCATCTCACAAGCTGATAGGATGACTTTAGATCTAGTTGAAAATGACTGTGGCTGACCTTGGAGTTGAGGGCACACTGCAGAGAGGAGTCCTTGTTCTTGTTGAGGATGCTGGTACTGGCCCCGTTCTCCAGCAGGACCTGGATGATTCCCTCGTAGCCCCATCGAGACGCCATGTGCAGTGCCGTGTCGCCTTTATCGTTCTGAACGTCCAGCCGGCAGGTTTGGCAGTCGTAGTACACCAAGGCCTTCACGCACTGAGGACAGCACCAGTGGTTATTCAAAGGGAGTAAGTTGTCTCCATCAGTGGTCCCCAAACCCCGGTCCCTGGCCAGGAAAGGCCGCAAGAAAGAATAGGTAACTTGCATTATTTCAGGGTTTTTTTAATACCCGAGTCTGAATGATAACTTAGTTTGAAAAATTATCAGATTCTCTTCTTACATTTTGGTCATGTGACACGCTAGCGCTGAAATGGAACAAGCTGGGATGAAGAGAGCAGCGTGTTTCTCCGACAAACTATGAGGCCCCTGTGCTGAGCTTTAATAAGAGGCAAGAAGAGCGGAGACGAGATCGTAAATGGAAAAAATATTGTCTGACATCAAACTGGTTCTTGGCTTTGAAGAGGTTGGGGATCGCTGGTCTAGATTGCTAATGTTAGTGATATATTAACAAGTAAACATCAGAAATAGACAGCCCTGTGTATTTAAAATGCATGAATTAACGGAAATCTAGATATTCATATTCCATTAGAAGTTATATCATCACTATCAACTGGATCTAGATATTGGAGTCGACTAGATCTAAGCTATTCGATTCTTTTATACCAGACAAATGTAATACAGCCATTTTATTACCTTGAACCAAATAACTTACTCTACTAAGAAGACAAGCCCCTTTTTAAATCTACTGGATCTAGTGCCACCCTATAACAATCATATTCAGTTGGTAATGTAGTTCTTACAGTCCATTACATTTGACCCAGATGCTAAATCCAAAAGCTATAAATGCCAAAATTGTGTGCCTAAATACTTTTACCATGCATTTCAGTTTAAGTAAAATACATATATGCTAGCACCACAGAGTAGAACAGCAGTGATACTTTAGCAGTTTACTGTATGTACAGGGCAACTTTGGCAGGTAGACCCAACAGACCCCAAATGTAAAGACCAGAAACCTGAACTCACATCTTCATGGCCGTACATGCAGGCGAGGTGCAGAGCCGTGTTCCCGTTGTTGTCCTGAGCGTCCGTGTTGGCTTTGTAATGCAGCAGGAGCAACTGAAATCACATCGACGTTAGTGTGAAGTTGGCTGAATTATAAATGTGGCTTCATTTTCCACAAAGAGGTGTGTGGTGTTACCGTGACGCCCTGGTATCCCCTCTGGCAGGCGAGGTGCAGTGGGGTGAGGGCGTGGTAGTCTGTGGCATTCACCGGAGCGCCTTTGTGAACCAGCAGATCGATCAGCTGGGCCTGGCCTGAAGAGACACGTTCAGTAGGTTCAAACTAAAACCATTGTTCATTTGAGACAGGCCCAATTTTTAAATAGAATAGATTTAAAAGAACCAATACGATGCATTATTTTTGGCCGGTAAATATGATAGAGATAATTTGCACATTTTAAGTGTCCATGTCGAGAGGAGCCAGTTGATGTGGCTCGGGCAACACTTTCGGATGCTGCCTGGTCTCATCCATGGGGAGGCAAGGACACACTGGAGGACTGTCTCTCTCTGCTGGCTCAAGAACGCCTCAGGATTCCCCCAAATGAGCTGGAGTGTGTGTGGAGAGGGAAGTCTGGGCATCTCTGCTGAGACTGCTGCTCCCGTGACCCAGCAACGGATGAAGGGGAAGATAATAGATGGAAGGATGAACAGTATCAAGGGTAAATAATGCTAACAGCCCTTTCCAATGCAACCACCAGAGAGAGGTGTACAATATGTTTATTGCCGGATGCAAATACAGACATCATCATCATTTCACCTGATAAATAACAAAAAACTATTTATGGGCAAAACTTTGGTTTTAAACGCAAAAATCTTCTTTGAGTGCGATGTCATAGTGGTGCAATGAAATCATACTCTTATAGGACTGAGAAGAGCTTTTACAAAAAGGGCAGAGTTACATGTTTGCACCAGAAGTTCCCGATATTCACATGGATGGAAAAAATGTACATATTTCAAATCATGCAGAAGTTAGCATGTTTTAAGAGTGTAATAAACGTGACTGACCACAGATGGCAGCTGCGTGTAGTGGTGTGTATCCGCGGTCGTCTCGGGAGAATGGAGTGATAATGGAGGGGTCATTTAGCTTCCTGTTACGAGACACAAAAATATATAGTTCAGTCTTCATACTTCGGCAAAGACACCAAAAAAACACATTTAAAGAGTTTTTGCCCATGCCATCTACAGGTAAAATAAATCAAAAAGATATAGTGATAGCTTTAAACAATACTGATACTGTCACATTCTTCATAACCCAAGAAAAGTGAAAGAAGAAATCAATGTAAGTAAAAATCTATAAAAATAGCATTCAGCTGCAATAGTTTGAAGAAGTGATTCTGCCTCAGTCACCGCAGGGGAAATCTCGTTGAAATCCTGGGTTAACTTCATTTGTACAATTACGGAATGATTGGTACATTTCTTTATCTGAGAAGTTCCCTCCTAATTTCAGGTCCCATTCCAAGTGAAACAACATGTGATTGGACAAGCTTAGTTGGGGCTGAAAACTGTATAGTCCATTAATATATAGTATCAATATAGCTTCATTTTTCTTCTTTGTGCAGAAAGCATCATGATACAACTTATCAAAAGTAGTTTATTGTAAGACTAACACATATTTCTACTTTGAACATGTGAGTATCCTCCTGCTGACCCGGAGAGCTGGAGATCACAGAGGTCACAGGAGCAGAGCGGGTGGCACATCCGGGCGTCCTCATCAGATTCTCCCTTGCTCAACAGACGCTCGATCTCCGCCTCGTTCCCATTTGCGATGTGCTGAAAATACATACAACAGAGAAGTTGATTTTACATGGGTCAAAACCAAGATAATACCATACTGTCTTGTCTGCAAGGTCTTAAAGCTTGGGGTATCCAACAAAATATCCAAGCCACAAAATATGGAACTATGCAATAAAATAGGTCTCTTTCACTAGTTTTCAGATGCATGTATTTTGACCTAATCAGTGAAAAAGAGAAAACCATCCTGACTCTGCTCTAAGCCCAAAGTGTCAAACAGTTTAACAATAACGCGGTTCACGTTTCGCTGCTTTGCTGTTTTGCAGATTTATAGCATTAAAACCAGTGGGGGCGGGTCCCGGCTCAAAAGTGGCCAAAATAACGTGCGCTGACATGCTTGCAATACCACCCCGGGCCGGTGGGGGTGGACCCGGAATAAGAATTAGCCAATGCTAACATATAACATCTTGTTACCTCTCAAAAACACCTTTACAGGATGGTCCAAAAGTGGTCTCTTGGCCCAAAGCTCCGTTCCACATGTGTGTCAATGCTGAGGGGGGTGAATTTGTTTGGACCAGTCTTGTTTACTCGCTGTGAATTTTTGAAGTCTCTCGTTTAAATGAATGGGGCTCGTACCGGCTGACGCATGCACAGATGCGTTTTTTCACATTTTCCAGCCCCTGCGGCAATTTTTAATCACTCCATGAAAGCCCAATTTTTGGCCCATTAGTTAGAACGGCGAAGATAGGCGTGACTACGTCCGTTAATATATACAGTCTATGATTAAAACATATAGCCGTTACGTCATGAATTTCACTTATATTTACACGATATTCAAAGGGCCACTGTAAATGCTAAAGATACAATGTTCTCTAATGTAAAAAGATAAAGACAGAATGTTATGGTATGATTTCTTCACAACTTTTCAAAGGACTCTACGTGTTGGTGCAAACATCACGTATAGGGAAATGAGAGTGAAGCAGAATGAGTGAAGCTCACCTGGAACAGGCCGTGTATGGGGGAGGCGGCGGTCTGAGCCAGCAGACTCATCCTCTCCTTAAACAGAGACTTGTCATTCAGCTCGCAGCCCTGAGAAGAGACACGGTGGCTTAACTGGTGGCTTTCAGAGACCATACTAACAGCTGAGGACCAAAGAACGAGTTTCAGTTCAAGTTGTAAATTAGAAATGGATTAAGAAAATGTGTACATCACCAAACCTGCCAGATATTCATCCTATGCTATGGAATTGAGTATTTCAAGACAAAAATCCCCTTTATTCCAAAGATAATAATATCAGTAAAATTTACACAAGCTCCTATTAACTTAAATGTACATGTTCAAACCTTATAAGCATATAAAAATACCGTTATTGCCAGACAATAAGCGGCTAAACCCTGCGGCCTACATAACGATGCGGCCCACTCCTATGGACCAATGGCTCCTTTGTGTTTGTTATCATTGCATTTCGGTTTTATTCTCTGGTCTGTGTTGGCGAATCGACAACTTTGTAAAGTCTTCCGACACGACTGGTGCTGTGATTTAGGGCTGTACAGAAATAAATTCAATTTAAATTTTATATTGTGTTACATCATCTCCTGGGCAATTGAATTGAATTGCGGCCATATGTGGACAAAATTGACTTTCTTTTCAAATGTAGCTGGTGCGGCTTGTGTACATTTGAAATAAAACAGGTGAAACGGCATTAGAGGGGTCTGCGTACCGATCGTGCGTCCTGGAGCTTTCCCAGGTTGATGTACTCCACGGCCGCCTCAAAGGTGCTCAGACAGTAGCTCAGCTCGTCTTTGGCCGAGTGGCTGAAGCAGAAGTTCCGGATGTAGCTCAGATTGGCCATCCTGAGGAGAAACCGACAACGACATCTCTATTGGGAACATTTTTATTTTTATATACTGTATGTAAAAGATGTAACCACTCTAAAAATGACTTAAAGTGGTATACACTGTGATAAACTCATCTTCCCACCCTTCAGTACATGCCCACAGTTCTTACACACTTTGAATACACTGACTCAGCAAATCCCTTTCTCAATATGGGTCACCAATTTTTTTTGAGTCCCTTATCGTTGCAGGAGGGTCGAAGGACAATGATGATCAGGAACATTTATTCACGTTTAAGGAAAGTGGTTATCCTGCTCCATATGAACCAATGACTCCTATGTGTTTAATATTATTGCATTTTCTGTATTTGAACCACTGCTGTTGAGATGTAGGCCTAAAAAATGGAAATCAACCACACACACGTTTCACTGAAGGGCTACAAGCGGTTATTTTTATAGTGATAAGACCTTTCCCTTACATTTCCATACTGCTGAACTTGCATCCAAAGTGCAAAAGCTGTCTCACCAGTTTGGGATTTCCGTCTTGACAAGGAGATAGAGGATCACGGACAGGAGGTCGTCTGCACTCTCCGCCTCTATGCTCACTGAAGGAAAAACAAAAACCTTGCATTATTTTTATACACTGCAGACTCGTGTTGAAATGCTGTGTAGACCTGGGACAATTGTAAGAAACGGAGGGGAGTCGTTTTGACCCGTGTAGGATTTTAAAACCAGGGGAACATGTCAAAATGAAAGCGTTAAAACAAACTTCCAACTTTAAACATCAGTGTTGTAAAGTGTACCCAGGACCAGAGAGAATGTCATTTTAATGGACTACAGTTTCTCTTCAGTTTCTTTACAATGTTATAAAAAAAGAGCAGTATGAGACAGAAAGGGGCCCGAACCCAGGACCCAGTTAATATTGATTTGATGTAATATTATAATCTTGTGAGATTTCAAAATAGTTTTATTTTTTTCAAGCTGTAAGCCATGTGTCCCTTTGCATGCCACACGTCTGTAATATATTTGAGCTCACAGATACAATATAAGGCTACAACAGTAAAACGGGTATTATGGCATTTAATAATAATAATAATAATAAATCTGTTTTATAGAGCGCTTTTTAGGCACTCAAATGATGCTTCACATGTAATTTTGCATTCACTCCATACACGATGGTGATAAACTACTACTGTAGCCACAGCTGCCTTGGGACACACTGACAGAAGCAAGGTAAACAGTATCTGTCATTGGGCCCACCTCCACCAATCCTTCACACACAAGACTCATTCTAGGCAATGTGGATGAAGTGTCTTGCCTTAGGATACAACAACAGTTTGGCACTTTACCGCAAAAGCCTGGTGTTCCCAGAGGTCTGCACTGCTAAACTTCAGAGGTCTAACGGGATCAGGCTTTCACATAGAGGTGGTGCAAACATTTCTTTTGTTTAGAGTATTTACTCATTGTATTATCTATTTTAGTTTATGTATTCATTTTCATTTTATAATTGATTTCCAGGAAAATGCAAATTAATTAACATATTGGATAGCCGTAGTTCCCCTCCAGCACCGGGACGCTAACAACTAAATTACCTCTTTTACAAACATTCATTTAGGGCGGATCGTACCACTCTGTGCTCAGACAGAGGGGTCGTTGTGTACCAATAAACCAAAAGTAAACTGGACAAACGCATTAAGTACCAACAGAGCAGGGCCTGTGTGTGCCAGATGTGATTATACTCCAGGATCAGCCAGAGTTCACTCCTGGTTTTCCACCGAGAGGAGACGGGGGATGAAATGACCAAAATGTCACTTGAGCATAAGATTTACCTGAGATTTCTCACTATCTCTATTTTCACACTGTTTTTTTGAGTCAGATCCTTGTTGATGCAGGATTTAGGGATATTTAAGGACATTCATGGAAAATATATAAACATTCATGGTTATTGATAATCCTGCTCCCAATGCAAAAATGTACTGAAATGAATCGAATCACGTGTGTCCTCTGAAGACGGTGCTCACCTGAACGCCTGGTGTTCTGAGTGGCCATCAGAGCCACTCTTCTCAAACACATGAGTTTGAGCAGCGGGGACGTCTGCTGGTTTAACTGACTCAGCTCCCTCTTGGCTCGGGACAAGTTTATACTGCAAACAAATCACAGCCAAGTCACGTTACAATACAAACGGAACACATCCATATGAGCTCAAGCCATAGGAAATAGACCAGAGAAAACCCATTTTCAGGATCAAAATTGAAGTGTTTGTATTTGTATTGTGTTTTATTGTCGTTTGCAATAACAATCATTGATTCATGTCGTGTGAGCTGACCTAAAGTCTGGTTTGACCCCCAGGTCCTTCTGCTGCAGTTCTCCAAAACTCCGGGCGATTTTGTTGAAGGCAGCGTCCTGAGAAGAGATGAACCATGGATTAGAAAGACTCAAACAGAAGAGATGTTTGTGGGTTTCACTGAGGAAGCTGTATCAAGGGCAGAGAGACGAGGGGAAGTGATTAAACTGTGTACAGACTTATTATGCAAGAGTTTATGACTTTAGTGTAATTCCCCTTCCCATTTTCAAACTCCAACTTGTGTCACACTGTAAGACACTCAAGCAATTGTGGGGATGGACATCACTGTGGTCAAAGCTTGTTTTTTTTTCATAACAGAATTTTAATATTGGACCCATAACTGAAGAGCCTTGCGTTCAATGTTCTTTATGGAGTCAAGGAGCTGCAAGATACAGTAAACACACATCAAGGAGAAGAATGAGCCTCACCTGGCTGGCCACCAACGTCCCAACAAAGTTAAAGATAAGATCATGGATACCATGATGAACATAAATCTGCCAAAAAAGAAAAGCTGGTCAAAAAGTACAGTTCTACAATTGAGACAGCATTTCACGATAATACTGAGGTTTTGTGATTTACGTTGAATTATCCACTGCAGATTTGAGTGGCTTTGCTCAATGGTCTGTGGCTGTGAGGAATTGAGGAAGGCCATTGAGCAAAGCAAATTAATGAGAATTTCCAACATCTATATGAAAGATGTGGGCTATTAACCCAAACTGAATATTCTGCTTCAAACATTCAGCATGTGTTCTTCCTGAGGTTAAGGGAATTACATTTAAAATTGTACATAGCTCAACTATGTAAACTGCACAGCCATAGAAACGCTACAAAAAGTCTAGTTTACAGAGACTCACTGTGGCCAATAATAAGTCCATGAGACGGGTCTGGCACAGCAGATATTTAATCTATTGTGGCATTCCATCGTGTTCTGCATCTGTCCGTATTGTGAAGTTCAGATTTATGTGTCGACTGCTGAACTCTGATAAAGTTAAAGCTCTGTACATCTTCTTTAAGATTAATACTAAAAATGTCTGTCAAATCATGTTATTGATTGGAATATGTTGCGGCACGATGGAAACTTTGCCTGCACCAAGACCAACAATGGAGCTGCTTTGCTTGTTACCTCCACGGCCTGCTTCAGAAGAGTCATCTGCACCTCCTGCTTGGCCAGGAGCTTCTGCGGAATAGCAAGATCAGAGTGAGACAAATGCATTTGTCACTGCACAGAACGTGACGCAACCAACGGCGTCACATGGTCTCCGCAAATCACTGGGAAACAGGAAGGTAGTGTTGAGAAATGTTGCAGGAAAATACTGCATTTTGAAATATGAATAGAATGGAAGAAACACTCCTTCAAACCCAAGGGACAAGAAATGACCAACGTGCCGATCTATTGGGAATACATTTCTTTGAATAAGTTTACAATTATTAGCAAAGACCACTTCATTTCATTAGTTGAGTTGTTTGTTGTAGGTCTGAGCTCTGCTGCAGCTGTCAAAAGCCGTGCATACACTGTAAACTACAGCTGTGTATGCTGTTGTGTATGCTGCTGTGTATGCTGTTGTGTATGCTGCTGTGTATGCTGCTGTGTATGCTGCTGTGTATGCTGTTGTGTATGCTGCTGTGTATGCTGTTGTGTATGCTGCTGTGTATGCTGCTGTGTATGCTGCTGTGTATGCTGCTGTGTATGCTGCTGTGTATGCTGCTGTGTATGCTGCTGTGTATGCTGCTGTGTATGCTGTTGTGTATGCTGTTGTGTATGCTGTTGTGTATGCTGCTGTGTATGCTGCTGTGTATGCTGCTGTGTATGCTGTTGTGTATGCTGTGTATGCTGCTGTGTATGCTGCTGTGTATGCTGTTGTGTATGCTGCTGTGTATGCTGTTGTGTATGCTGCTGTGTATGCTGCTGTGTATGCTGCTGTGTATGCTGTTGTGTATGATGTTGTGTATGCTGCTGTGTATGCTGCTGTGTATGCTGTTGTGTATGCTGTTGTGTATGCTGTTGTGTATGCTGTTGTGTATGCTGTGTATGCTGCTGTGTATGCTGCTGTGTATGCTGCTGTGTATGCTGCTGTGTATGCTGCTGTGTATGCTGCTGTGTATGCTGTTGTGTATGATGTTGTGTATACACGAGGTGAATGAGAAGCCTGTTAAAAAATGACACATTGTGGTTTTGAAAAATGTACGTCGGCACTGAATGTTTATTTGTACAGCACATTTGGTACACAAAGGTTTTCAGAGAGTAGTGTAGTGCAGTGCGCACCGAGAGCGGAAAACCCAATTTAAAAAGTGACTGTACATTAAATTAAATCAGGATGAAATATGAGACGTATAACTCACCAGACGAGAGTCCCTCAACAGACACTGAAGACATTTTGTGTAGAGGCCGTTCACCGAGTCCTGTGAGGAGAAAAATATAATCTCATCAGACTCACCAGTTTTGGTTTTTACTCTTAATTTGTTTGTGTCTGCATATTCCCAGCTGAGTCATCACTAAACTGATTGCACACAGAAACTATTATTCTAATTGAATCTAATTAAAAACTGCATTTGTATTGTCATTTCAAAATAAATGTAATTTTGCAAATATTTTTTAAGATGGTAAATGTCATTAAAATAATTAAGTAAATGCAATGATAATTAAACTATTCAACTATATAAAAATAACTATGCCCCAGTTCCTGACTCAAAAACAGTTCGGTTCCATCACTAGTGACTCAAAGAGCTTGTTCTTTTATTCAGAAAATAAAGGTTTTTACAAGAAGATAAATACAGCATGTTACAGGACTCTTTACTCTATACTTTTTATAATACAATTCATTCATTTACACAGAACTGGGGTGAAATAATATATTGTCTCTTCCAAGATAAAATTCTTGATAGATTTGTATTAAATGCATTGACGCTACTCTTCTCATTGACAGCCGTTTTAACACCATTACATTTGCCAAAGATCAAAATAGAGTCGATATGACACAGAGTTACAGTGGGCCCTTGTTTATCACAGGGTTACATTCTACCATTAACCACAATTAATCTACATAAGCAAAATATGTGGCTGTATGTTTTAAGGAGGTTAAACTCCTAACCCAGTGCAGCAGGTGGGGGACAGGAGGGTCCATCCATGCTAGACCCTAACTAAGCAAAAATAAGTTTGTTTCTAGCTATTTTTGTTGTCCAGTAATCCCCAGCCAAATATAGGGTCTCAGACAAATACGTCAATGGCAGTCAAGGAGTTAACCGTGTTCAACTGAATTAACATGAATGTGTTTTGTATAGTGTAAAAAGCACCAGTGTCGTACTATGTGATGGCGCAGTCCCTTCCTCTCCTGCTCTTTGAACGCCTGACAGAAGCTCTGCACAAACTTGTCCAGTCGGAGTGCATGGCGTCCCAGGAAGTCCCGGACCTCCTCCACACTCCTCAGGCAGTAGGGTGGAGTAGGACAGGACTCCGAGGGGCTGGGGTCCTCCTCCACCGGCCGCGAGATGCACAGGATGCTGTAGCTCTGCTCCTGGTCGTTGTAAAAGGTCTCCTCGAACAGTATAGGGATGGAGCCCGGAGAGGGGAAACCGGAGCCCAAGACCACCCGCCGGTCCTGGATACGCACCTCCTACAAGAAGATAAAGTTTGCAGTTACTCTCAAAACAAATACACACATCTGAGAAAGTTATGGTTTACGAAAAATCTGGAACTAATAAAGCAAAATGACAAATATAAGATGGTGTATCTGAATATTTTACAAATTAGACCACAATATTCCGTCTTCATTGAGTCACTATTTGACTCTTTGGGCAGAGCACCGATTGGCTGAGTGAGTGAGGTACTCTCTCTTTCACTTATCTGTCTGAATAAGCTGATTTAAAGAAGGTACAGGTGTCAGAAATAGTCAATTGTTCTTTTTAGTTTATTCACAAAACGTGAATTAGAAAAAGTGGATTAGATTTTGTTTTCCATGCCACCAATTCACAAAATCTTTGGACTCTTACAACTAAACTAAATGAAGGAGTCAGATTTCTGATGAACCAAAAACATGTGACCAAAGCATTTGGAAGACAATATGCAAGTTGAAAAAATATGTTCATGTTTAAATAAACACACACCTTTCCATCGACTGTGTGGTATCCATCCTCTGCCGGCTGAAGAATGTAGCTCTCAAACTGAGAGTCTGAGAAACTGCTGCCGTTCAAACTTCCCCAACAGGGAACCAGCACCTGAAGGAGGCAAAGAAACGTAAACCAACCACCTATAGGACTTTTAACACATATGCACTTGGAGGCGTGATTTAAATACTTAAAGATTACAAATGCAGCACTACTGTATTTAAAAGATAAAACAGGAAATGTGTAACTGTCACAATAAAAATGATATTACAGTGCTTGCAACACAATTAAGGGCACAAGCTAAATTTGAAGAGAAACTAAATGAAACACATATAGGCCACACTTGAATACAAGCCACAAGTTTTGTATTGTATCGTTTTTTATTGTAATTGTAACCAACCACTGATGGAGAAAAACAAAGCAGATAGACGACCATTTAAACTGGACAAACCATAATTTACTGTGTATTAATGCATTGTGATGATCAAAGCACTCAATAAATACAGTCTATCTTAACAATAAACATGTTTTATCTACAAAAATTTGATAGAGTCAAAATAATAAGTCCATAAACTCTGTTCTGACGACAGGCCTAATCACATAAAAAAGTCTTTCTGCTGTTCACATCAACACACAAGAAGCAGAAATAGGTGTTGCGTTCTAAAAATGACCTGCAATAAGTGAAATCCGCAAAGCAGCAGCTGTATGTTTCAAGGCTGTAAAACCCCTCACTACACACTTTATACATGTTTTTAATAATATGAACTCACGACCGCTGAAGTGCAATCGCTGATATATTAAATCTGTGTGTTAAAAGTCTGAGAAGAAACCGCGGTAGTCCTTTGAACTAATCACAAGCCACAATAGTTTAAAATAAAAAGGTAACGTCATGTTTTACTAGTGGTTGATGAATGATTAAATCCTTGAAGTTGACCGAGTTTTCAACATAATGAATGAAGCAGTAAACAGATCACACCTTGTTATGTTACCTAATATAAAGTGAACAGTCCCAAGCCCTTGTCAGAATATGTGCTACATTTCATGGTGTACGTGCTACATAGTCGGCGGCCATATTGTTTTGGCTCATAAGTGAATATACTGCAGGATAGTTACACAACACAGGCCTTGACACACTTCAGACCATGGTTTACTGCTAGTGTCTGACTTCACTTGTGTAACCAATCCCCTTTCAAATGCATCTAAGCCTTTTAATTGATTTAGCCCATCATCCATTCCCCTGCGGAAATCAGATTGATTTATTCCAATACTCATTACATAGATAATTACATACAGTAAATACGTTTATTTCAAACGTTAATTGATATATAATCACATTAATCTGATCTAATTAGTGAAATCCACATTATAAATGGCACGAACCAATAATCTTACATAATTACTTTTGTGAGGAAAACTGCAGTGGCTTCAGTGAACAGACAGGAAGTATAGACACAAAGCAGTGCTGCCTCAACTACAAAGACAAAGACAAAAAAACAATAAAAAGATATTCCTGCAGGTGTTCAATCTTTCTTCAGAATAATAAAAAGTCGCAATAATCAAATGAAGCAAGTTGCTTCAGCCCAATCCTATTTTTGGTTGTAATATAGTCATATAATAATAAGTAATAAGTAATATAGTGAATGTGATATGTTATTAATCAAACAACTGACCAAAAACAATAAACATTAAATAATTTAATTCAAAACAATACTTTGTCCTGATGAAGATGGGAGTTGAAATATGTTTCCATAAATAAAGCAACACTAAATGTAGGGTTAAAAGGTTTTTTCAGGAGGTCTAAACTACAGGTGTTGAATACAAGATGAATTCTACATCACATAGATCTAGCTTGTGTTGCAGGAGGTGAGCACTTTGAACACGTGCAGGGAACTGAAAGTTGTGAGGATACAAAAAGGTGCATGAGCGATTTCAATCCATTTGAAATTGCATCTTACATTTCATGCTCTGTGTTTGTTGTTGAAAAAAAAAAATAGTTGCAAAAAATGTGAATTAGTTCAAAGAAATTGCAATTTCCATGGTCGCAGCAATTAGTAAATTGCAAAGACTACAATTACAATGGTCACACAGCTCACCTTTCGCAGCCATGTTAATTTGCTGATTTGTGGCATCTTATTTATTTATTGTTTATTTGGTTGCAACAGTACATTTTAATGTAACACATCAGTCCTTATTGTAGCCAATCACAACACACACTCATTCACCCTGAACTATTGCACATATTTTTAATGGTAGGGAAAACCGGAGTACCCGGAGGGAACCTATGCAGACACTGGGAGAACATGCAAACTCCACTCAGAAAGGCCCTGTTCCGACGGGAATTCAAACCCAGAACCTTCTTTCTTGCTGAGAGCTGAGACTAATAAAACATGACAGTTACCTTTATTCAAAGTCAGAATAAAACTTTTGTGGCTTGTGTGCATCACAGTGATTAATTCTGAGGACTACTGCAGTATTTTACAGTGCATGCATGGCTTTTGACAGCTGCAGCAGCAGTCGAGAGTTACCACCAGTGTTGGGAACGTTACTTTGAAAAAGTAATTAGTTATAGTTACTAGTTACTTCTCCCAAAAAGTAACTGAGTTACTAACGGAGTTACTCCACTATAAAAGTACAGTAACTAGTTACCAGTAAAAGTAACTATTGCATTACTTTTTCGTTTTGTTCTGGAACATAATGTGCACCCGACGTGCGCATTTTTACCTTTAACCTCAGTGAGTCTGAAATATTGCCAATATTTCCATCTAGAAAAGGCTGTTTTGCTGCTAAAGTCCTGTTCACTCTTCATCTCTCTCTGTGCTGTAAGCACTAAACACCAACACCCACCACTGTGAATGTGGAAACACCGGTGACGAGCGGTGAGGCTGGTGAAGCACCGACTTCAGTCCAATCAGATGAACATATACATCATATAAATCAAGTGGACAATTTGTTTGGCTACAGCAAAATATGTTTTATGTCCGCATTGTTTGTTCATACAAAACGCAAAACTATGAGTTATGGGTCTTACCGTATAGCTATACCTTATAAATGACCTGCACAGTCCACTTCGGTTCAGACCAGTTCCTTGTTTAAATCCAGTTAATGGTTTGAGCGTAGATATGTAATCCTCCATTTGGAAATGAGTCCAATGAGTTTTAAAAAGTAAAACAAAACGCGTGTGTCCTCCATAAACTCCTGTGTTTTGCTAGCGGCAGCCGAGTGCATCCAAATTCTAAAATCAACCGTCTTACACTTCACCTCTCTTTCTTATCATTCCTATAGTCATTGAAAAATTACCCTATGTGCATTTTAGATTATCTAAAAATGTGTTATATGTATGTTAGCCAAACCTGTTGCTGTCCTTAGCAGATAAACCAGGAAGAGCAAGGAGCTTATCGATGGAATTGTATGCAGCCGACTTCCGCGCTCACATGCGCTCCTCTGAGGCTGACCTCACGGCGCGATTAAGACCCATATTTGTTTCAAAAACACAATTTATGAGCCATCCTCTCAACTGTAAACATGTAGATTGTAAAGGAAATATGTTTTACATCAGCCAATAATTGCTGAGAGGTTTTCTCATCCTCCCTTCTCTCATGACAACACGTTCATTGTGCGTCTTGAGTAACGCGCAGTAACGGGATGTCGGAAATGATAACGGCGTTATAGTTACTGTCAAAGTAATTAGTTAGATTACTCGTTACTGAAAAAAGTAACGGCGTTAGTAACGTTACTAGTAACGCCGTTATTCCCATCACTGGTTACCACAAACACTTGACATCTACTCCCTGGTAATTATTCCACTCACTAGAGATGAATTGATGTATTGTAGCTCTAGATCAGTGGTGCTCAATACGTCGATCGCGATCTACCAGTCGATCGCAAAGGTAGTATTGGTAGATCGCATTAAATAAATTAAAAATTACACATTCTAAACGAATATATACAAAAAACTCCGGGCAAAGTGGAGATTTTTGAAAACTCCGTTAATGCATTTGTGTGTAGACAGAGATAACCAGAGTTTTGCGTTCTCGCACGCCACAGTACCCCCCTAAATTCCTCTGATCACTGAAGCATGGATCATACTACCTTAAAAACTGTTCGCTGTGAGATGCTCGCAGCAGCGAACATCCTCGCTCCACATCAGAGAGCAGCAAAGTGATCGCGGGGACTAACGCTCGAAAACAACCAAACCAGGACTAAACCAGGACTAAACCAGGACTAAACCAGGACTAAACCAGGACTAAACCAGGACTAAACCAGGGCTGAGGACGGGGTCAGTGCTTGTAAACATACGTCTTACTCTTTACTCTGAGTGTCTTCTATGACTGTAAAAGTGCCGTTACCGGCGTCTGCATCAGAGCTCCGCCCACTTCTGTGTTTTTCCCCAACGCAGGACAGGACGTAAGAGACGCACATGTTTGGAATGTTACGAATGTAATTGATAACGCAGATGTGTGGATGCAAATTATTTTATAAACGGAGGAGGGGAAATATTTGGATTTAAAAAAAACAGGCATGGCACATGGACATGGCACCACAGTCAAATGACATCTGTGTTTTACTCAGTAATGTTTTACTGACACTTAGGTGACTGCACATGCGCAAACAACCGCGCTCAGTGCAGGAAAGCAAAACCACGACAAACTTGTCAGCGAGTTACCACCAATTTTCCGGACTATGCATCCCTGGCCGATTCAATTCAGTGCAAGTCATAAGAGTAAACTCGGGTAATGACAAAAAATTTACATAGGTAATTGTGTTGTGCTATATTGGCTCATGCTGTTTTGCATGTACATAAACATACATTGTAGATATAAAGAATATTTTTTGAAATATATGATTTGCATTTTTGTAGTAGGTAGATCATTTTGACTTGATCCTTTTATAAGTAGCTCGCATGCTGAAAAAGTGTGAGCACCCCTGCTCTAGATTATACATACTATATACTAATCCCTTCGAGTTGCATTGTGTATGGCCTGTGCTACACAAATAAACTTGCCTTGCCTAGATAAAAGTGACTGTAGGAGTGGACTCACAATGCCATGCAGTTCAGCCACGCGGCTGCACAGGTCGGCCCTCTGCTTCTCCAAGGACAAATAAAAGGGATTCTTCAGGATGTTCTCATCATAAACAGCCATAAGGAGCTGGAAGTCTGGATCCTGGACAAAAAAACACAACAGTTCATCAGTTCAACTAGAAAGCACCCGCGTAAAGCGCAGACATCAGGCAAGAGTGACAATTCTATTCTTTAGTGGTTCCCAAAGTGGGGGGTGCAGAGGAATTGCGGGGCGGACGCGGGACGCATGAATGAACGAAAATACAGTATGCTAAATGACACTGCTAGCAAAAGATGGAGATATTTTTGACACACTACGATCTGCAGTTAGGGCTGAGTTTTATATTAATTACGATGTGTGAAATAAACTGCAATGGACAAAATGTTTATGTACCGGTATGTCCTTTTTTCAAATCAATCAAACCCAGATTATAACAAAACCCTCTGGCAGATCAGATGTAACACATGGATAGAAATAAAATGCAGAACCCATTTCCACGCATTAAGATACAAAAAAATAATAAGAATATTGTTCTCTTCAAAAGCCTTAACATGGATACCATTTTTGTCTGGCAGTTTTCCTGGTGGATCAAATGACTGGATTTTACAGGCATTTCATACAACTATCAAAATTCTTTCTCACTCATAATCATGTGAAACGATAATTGCGGCGGGGACACATTTTCAAAGGAGAAGTTCTCATGACTTATCACAATCGTGCACTCAAAGTTTAACAAACTGGAGAAAAATTACTACGGATAAAAATAATGTCTATAAAATCAGCAGTTCCAAAATAAAACAGAACCGGACTCAAATTACAAACATTACATTCTTTTACAAGTCGGCTGAACATTGGAGAAAAGCAAAAGAGCTCATTAAAATATACAATGGCAAAACACTTTATCTAATACCTTCACTTCAACTAAGACATTTGACATAACACTTTTCCAGAGGATTAGCATTCATTCATTTAAAATATTTTAGTTTTTTTCTAAAACAATTATTTTTGACAATGAGTGTCTTGGGAAAAATACATCAATAGAAAACAGTGATTTTCAGTGTCCTAATAAAACGTTTTAACCATCATTTCAAAATCTGCCATTCACTTACTGCAGCATCTGCCTTTTACAGGATCAGACTGTAAAAACAGGTTGTGCAACACTTATTGCTGTCAGGTTGGAAGAAAAGGACATTTATGTAACCATATTTTTTGCACTATTAAGAGCACATTAAAGCCTTTAATTTTACCTTGCGCCTTATAGTCTGGTGCACCTTATACATGAACATAAAGGCATAATTTGATAATGCGAAAAATGAGGTAAGTTAAATTAGACGACTACAATCAAACATTCGGTGCTGCTTCCAGAATTAACATTTCTCAAATTTGGGAAAATGACAAGGTTTCATGTCAAACCATTCACATTGAAATGTTTTATGCCCCTCTCAATCACAAAAAGGAGAAATGAAAAACAACTCATTTAATTAACAGTTTACTATTCTCAGAATGACTACAACTCAGTTCAACCACCATTGACAACAGCATCATCATCAAATCAATTACAGATTCACTTTGATAGAATTAGACTTGTTCCAAACATGTGACAAGCAGAAATATGTTTTTGTTTTCTGTGGCATCTAATAAAAAGTTGATCAGCAAGTTACCTGTAGTTGGGTTGTTCAAAATAAGATTTTAGTCAACAAGCTAGCATTTTTACATACCTCCCCTTTAAAAATCTGTAAGTACAAATCTCTCGCTCCATCCTTCCCTCACTGTGAACATGAGGAAGGACCCATCGGCCCCATTTTATTTCTGTTGAAAATCATTACACCCGATATGGAAGTTTCATCCCAAAGTTTTGTATTTTATCAAATGCAAATATAAATAAAATAGGCATAAAGAATCGTTTTTTTCTTCCATAATTGTTCTATATCCGCCATGTCTATATCCGCCATAGAATAATTACTATGTCTACTGTGCCAGAGCAAAAGTTCTGCATTGGAATGACCCAATGCAATCACACAGAAAACTCAGACTATGAATAATAATTACAATGTAGATGTATAAAAGTGATAAAAACATAAGTACAAAATGTGGGACTGTACAAGGGAAGTGTGTTCAGAGACATATTGGGGACATACAGTGTTAGCCTTTTTAAAGTTTTTCCTTCATGTAAAATAAAGCATATACTATAACTCAAAATATAAAGCAGGCACATAACCACATGTTTTCATATTTAAGTCCTTTTGAGTCTATAGATAAGTATATGCTCCAAATGTAAATAATTATAATGTGATAGATACAGTACGAGAGCAGACAAAAACACAATATGTTATGTGTAAAGTAGGCCAGTGGGATGTGAGGAAAACAGGGATCAGATGGTACTCACCTCCTGACTGAGCTTCATGTTCCCTGCTCCCTGAGCCAGACTCAGACTCTCAGACTGAAGCCTCACACTCTCCCCCATACGCCTCCCTCTCTCCCTCTCTGCTGAGGCAGTCATGTGGCCGCTCTGTCCTATGACCCAAAGATCCACAGCTACCAGGAATGTCCTTTGGGCCAATCACACTTCAGATTTCCAGAGGCTTTTACAATGCCTTACAAGTCTACAACCATGTAATCATTGCATTACTAATTATTAATACAATAATTTCAATGTATGTTTCAAAAGCACAGATGACTCCAGACCCCTGATGAAGATTGTTATTAGACATTTTATTCCCCACTTCAATATGGAAAAGTAATTCTGAACCCAAACTATATTCTATGCTCGAAACCCTGGAGCACAACCATAGACTGTATACAGATGGACAATGCAAACCCGCTAGCTCAAGGAAACACAATAGAGAAGTGCTCATGGACGGTCTGGCTTCTAGTGACTTACATTGAAAAGTAAACTCCTCTAGCTCAGTAGCCCTTTGTGTCACCCTCACAAACACTAGTGACGTCAGCACTCGGCCAGTCCACGACTAATAAACGTTCTTGGAGCACAAGAACAAAACAACACAATGCTCTCCCACCACAGGAGTTAGACAAGCAGGACGCCACATTGAGGGTAAAAATGTATTAAGTTGTTCACAGTTTTTAGCCAATAATTGAATAAATGTATGAATTCACTAGAATACCTAAAGGCCTATGTAATCCCTGATCATCGTTTCAGATTGCTGCAGCTAAAATGATGATTTTACTCTGATGTTCAAATCTAGGTTAAAAAATATATATATACTTAGCTGTGTATACATCTATAGCATCTTCAATCTTGTTTAGCTAAGCACTTTGAGTTTCCTTGCGTATGAGCTGTGCTATACAATTAAACCGATTTGCCATGATAACATCGGCTTCAAGCATATGAGAGACATATTACTGTATTTTAAAAGAAATACAATACAAAAACTATCACGAGATTTAGTTGAGATATTAACTACGCTTTGGTTGAAGTGTTTAACTTGACTTTAATTTGCTAAAGACGGTATAATTGCAGAATTTCTTTAAGAAGTCGTACAATTCACAATGCGAATATGACTTTTCACTGTAAAAAGACAATTCAGAGCCAAACGTGACAGTCACTCGGCGTGCTTTCTCCTCAGGCTGCACACACAAGACAAACCACCTCTGCTTTCAAGGGTTCAAAGTTAAGCTTGAAAACAAACTACAACAATGACAAATTATTCAGATCACGGGTCATTTTCAAACGTCATATAGAGAATGAAAACTCTTTAAATTCCCACACATTTTCCATTTAGAAATGATATAGTCTAATTTTGAGCATAAAAGCCCATAATTGGATAATTCGTTTAAAGAGAATTTTCAAAATTATTTACATGTTTTATTCTACAATATTTTCATCTGACAGATTTTGAGTGGTAGAGTCACACTGAACACTCAAGGCACACCATGACTTATTTGTGTACCGACTCATGATGATCCAAGCACTGGGGTAAATCAAGTCTATTTAAATGTGTGTCCCATTTCTACTAAAATGTAAAAATCAACATGTACAGATTTAGACATACTGCTGCTACCATGTACAGATACTAACATAACATATTGCTTGCACTAGAATACACAGCACTTTATACTTGCCCTTATTGTGCCAAATGTAAAAAAATGTATACTTCTTTTTATTACTATTATGTTCATGATAGAGAATTCATACTTTTTATTTGATCCTAGAGTTAGAGATTTTGTTTTATTTTAAAGAGTATAGCTATTATTCACTTATCTTGTTCTGTGTGCTCCTCATTCCTACTGTTCTATAACTTGTGATGCAACACAAACATTTCCCCACTGTGGGACGAATAAAGGATCTCTGAATCTTAAAACAATTAGTTCATAAACTCTGCTCTTACAATCGTCTTACTCACATAAAAGCAAGGCCTGCATATTTCCCTGCACTTCCTTGCGTCGGCCTACTACGTCTGTTCACATAAACACATAAGAAGCAGGAATGTGTACTACGCCGTCAGCTCTGCAGTGGGTCCAAATCTGTGCCTGTGCTCCAGCGGCATGTTAACATAGTAATAATACATACATCGGCCACATAGCTATATGTTCAGAGAAGTTGAAAGCAGTTTATAGTCCAGCAAGCCCTGCATACTGATAATTAAAGTAAAAACCCTATTTCTCGAACATTTGACAGAAGCATTACTGGTATCTCAGTTCAAATAAGAAATATAGACAAAGAATCTTAACTAGATACTTGTAACAATGCTTATTTAAATAAGATGGACTTTATTGATTTAGAGAAATTTGGCATAAATAGTATCACTCAGGGTGTGCAACAACACAAGAAATGTTTTGTGCAAGATATATTATGTACAAGTATGTATGTTATTGAGTAGTATGGATTGTAAAAGGTAAGACATATACAAAACAAATAATTTCCTGAGCAGTTTTGCAACAATTTTGATCCATATAATAAGAACTCTTTTTATTAGTTAGCTAGTTATTAGAAGTTACAGTCTATGGGAAAGTCTACTATGGGTATCAAAATTGGTCAGATATCGAGCATATTAATGCAGTGTCAAATATTCTGTATATATTATCTATCATTACAACACAATAGACCAGACACCAGATGAAATAAAATTCGATCTTGTTTAAAGCTAATTCTACTGACCAACTACTGAACATTTTATTAACTACTAGGCATTTAAACTGGCAATAGGATGAGAAAAACCCTCATGTAATAACATAATTAAGTACATGCTCGTGTTGTCATTTTTAATAGACAGTTGAACCACGATTTAGCAATGTTTGGAAGTGTAGCAAACAGATCAGCAGCAAGCTTCATTAGCTCCCACGACAACAAACAGCACGCGAGCCTAGCATCGTTAGCATTTAGCATCACATCAAAGAAACACCCTGGATTAGCTAGCTAGCAGCGCGTGAAAAGACCTGCTATAGTTGAAACAAAGCGGGAGACGAAAGAGATGTTTACCTGTATTCAGCTCGTTTCTCTGCTTATCCAGGCTTTGGCATCGCACTCTCAGAAGCCCGCAGCCGCCTGTCATGAGCTGTTTACGGCCATCAGCTGGTGGATGTGCGGTGGGTGGGCTCTGAATCAGGGGGGCAGATAAACGCTGGACAAAATATGATTCAAAGACTTCTGTCACGGATGGGTTGCAAAATAGGTTCTAGTCGCTCTAGTCTGTGTGGTTACGAGGAGGGCGACCAGGGGTGAACCTGCGTGAACTACTATAAGGAAAACAGATGTGGGTTATTCAGTCGTCTTGACCCGATTTATTATGATAAATAAGGCCGACATCGCCACCTTATGGACAGTAACTGAATTTCACTTTCACAAAGCATGAGTACAAGAATTTTAAACCGCAAAAAGGTCAAGCAGAATAGAATAGATCTTTGTCTGGTCAAAAGCAGACTGTTTTTTTTTTTTTTATCAGATTTTAATGAACTTATGTTATCCTAAAATTACACAAAATATATTATAATCACTGTTACCTGGAACCACAACCACACAGGAGATATTTGGCATAGATAGAATCACTCAGATTTGTGCAAAAGAAAGTGTGCAAACATGTTGATGGTAAAAAATGAGTTCAAGGATCATTATCTTGCAGTGAAAATGTAATGTAACATTGGTTGAATATACATTTTATATATAGTACGGTAAAAATGATGGATAAGGGATGCACTGTTCATCCACGGCACTAAAATGTAACTTAAAAATGTAAACGTAATCCACTGAACCATTGTTGCTTGCTTAATCTTTTTATTAAGAACAAAATGGAAATCAGAACAATCACATTTTTAAATAGAGTAGCTTAAATCACAACCATAAAACAAAACAATTTAACACAAAGTTGAAGTTAATTCAGAAGAACTTTCAGCAATAACATCATGGATAATAGCACTGGTTCTAAAGGCCATACAATAGAAAAACTGTATTCGGAATGGTTACACAAAAGTGTCTCCACAACACTCATTAAATAACATAGAAGGTAAATTAACTTAACACCAGCATTAGACATGGTAAATTAATTTCACCTCGAGTTTGTCACATAAATCCACAGGCAAAAACTTCTGTTTGCGTCCACAAACATTGAAAATATATTGAGAAGTTAATCTCTATCAAGAATTATAAATAAGTGTTCTTCAGTTTTAGTGTTTAATTGGTCAAACAGAATAATTGCACTTGAAGGGCACCAAAACCCGATGCAGTTTTTGTTTTGTTTTAAATTAAACAAATTCTTAAATCCTTCCTTTGATAACATGTGTGATTTAACACTCATTTTGGCAAACATGGAAAAAAAAAATCTTTGTTGAAGTGAATTTTTCCGGATACATTATTTTTCTCTGGATGTTTATGAGTTGTTGGCAACTTGTCAACATTAGTCGTGTCACATGTTTATTGGTGGTACTAGGGCAAGAACACAAAGAAAATAATGGTCCTCATTTATCAACATTTTCCCACCAGAGAGCGTCAGATGTGTGTCCTCTATTTCAGGTGTAGGAATGAATGTAGGGAAGGATGGCGCGCGAGATTGAACCTAAATTAGGACTCAAAAGGGTCTAAATGACCCAGGGCTGGTTATGTTAGGAAAAAAAAAATCATTAAAATTAAGCTTGTTAGCTAATATTTTTTAAACACAGTGGCGGTCAATTTGACCCAAGGAAAGCCCAAGGGTGAAGATATACTTTGTCCATATGGGAAAATGTGTCCTCTGAATTTGACCAATTCTTCAATGCCACAAAAGGACCCTATGAGGAGCAGCAAGGTAAAGGTAAACTTTATTAATCCCCGTAGGGGAATTCATCCTCTGCATTTGACCCATCCTGACGTAAGCTAAGGCTTACATCAGGAGCAGTGGTCGCCGTAGTACAGCGCCCGGTAACTCATCTCCAGATGTTGATGCTCGGCTTAGTCAGGACTACCAGAGCTGGAGGATTTTACCTAGCAGTGGTCGCTGCATTGCCTCTTGATTTTCTGCAGTATGTTTTATTTGTTCCACTTCAGAACCTGACGCATGCAGAGTACAGAACTAAACCCATGCAAGATTTGCAGCCCCAACTGGGACCAACACACAGAGTCAGACAACATATAATAATAATAAGTTTTATATAGTGCTTTTTTGAACACTCAAAGATGCTTCACATGTCATTATTTGTACACTCCATACACAGTGGTGATAAACTACTACTGCAGTGGGGCAGACTGAGAGAAGCGAGGCAACAAGTATGTGCCCCAATGTGGCACCTGGTGTTCCGAGAGGTCTCCCATCAAAGTACTAACCAGGCCCTGCCCTGCTATACTGTTTGAAGGTTTTGGGTGCCTCGTCAAATTACCACAGTTGCCATAAAAAGAGTCAAGGGATCGTGGGGTCTTTGCTGCGTGCGCCGCTCTGGATCTGCAGAACGCTGCAGAAGAGGTGAGAAGCAAAGCAGGCAGTTTATGAGTGGTTGCTGTATAGGACGGTTGTGTAAGGTCTCAGTTTTACCCATCTTTGTTCCCATTTCCTTTTACGCTTAAATGGATACCAAGTCACGAAGCCAGTAATCTTAGCAGAGATGCCCAGACTTTCCTATCCACAAACACTTCTTCCAACTGATCCTTGTGGCTCAGCTGGCTTGGGAGCCTTCAATGTGTCCTGGGTCTTCCCTGGGGTTTCCTCCCAAATGGAAATGCCCAGAGGCGTCCAGGAGGCATCCGAAACAGATTTCCGAGCCACTTCAATTGACTTCTGTCAACATGGAGCTTTGCGGCTTTAAGCCATCTCTAAGGGAACGAACAGAGGGGGGGTGGAAACATAGAATGGTTCGTAAGCTGAGAGCTCTGCTCCCTCTTCACCACAACGGCCCAATACAGCTCCGATAGTTCTGACTGCAGACGCTGCCCCCTCTTCACTACAACAGTCCGATACAGCGACCGCATCACTGCACACGCTGCAATGATCAGTCGGTAATGATTGAAAGAATGAGATCACAGCTCATTCCACAGGCAAAATTAATTTACTTTGCTGTGGCCAGGCCACTCTTGAAGGGTAGGGGAGGAGCACATTCAAACATTGCTTCTCCTCGGAGTCAGTCAAGGTAGCTCAGGTATCTGTTCCAGATGCTTAAGGCTTAAAGTTCCTTTGATGAAGAGTGTAAAAAAACTAGTACTGCTTAATTACCAGGACATGTTTTGGCAGTAGACTTCCGCCTTTGTGAGAGGTAAAAAGTGATGGTTTGACGTGTCCCTTATCAGCTGTTACCGGATGTGGTCTGACGGATCAGCAAGATCCATCAGTGTGAACCAAGGGTATAGGCATCCTAATAAAGAGGTTCAACCTCATGTTTCTCCTCGATTATCAGACACAGAATGAAGATCAGTCAAGATTTTGTAATATGCCAAAACCTAAAGTACAAAACTTTAGGGCTGATGACACTTCTATGTAGGCGAGAAACCCACTCCACATCAAGAATTTTTTAGGTCTAGCACAAATACCTCCTTTAATTTCAATGAGTCATCACACCGCGCTCTACCATGAGAACGAATTGTTAACATTGGAATAGCGTTGCTGTACCGTGTGAGCAGAGGGAGAACAGCAGGACTATTGAAAAAAACTGAACAATCTGCCTTGAAAAGGAATTGTATGTAATAGTTTTAATTACATCTTGTATGTGAATTCTCATGATAAACCATTCGCTATTTTGACTGAAAGCCGCATCACTACATGTGCAAAGAACACATGTGAATCTCGCGAGCCTGGCAGCACGGCTCAGTGAGCAACACAGATCAGAAATATGCTCTGCAAACTCAAAGGCTGCGCGAGCTTTCTCCCCTCCATCAACCCATGAGTCGCGACCGCTGTAGTAGAAACTAGTAGTTTTTATTTATGCTTTGCTGGATCAAAAAATTGCCACTGTGCACAAATGTGGAAGAGCGTAAATTAAGAGTTGGACCTACAGCCACAGACTGGTGCAAAATTCTGGTCACACTCTGGAGCACTAAGTGAACACATGAGGAATGAATCCTGACATCCATACAAGCTATCATCACACCATCAGCAGTGGTGAATGCAGGTGGTTGCACAAGTGTACAAAGAGTGTTGAGTGTTTTGCAACCCTAAAACATTTTTAGAAGAGGCCACTGTACCACCAACCAACATGTGAAACGATCCCGGAAAACTGAGGTATTTTTGTGTTTGTTTTGCTTTGATGATCAAAAGACTAAGACACCCTTTGCACAAAGCAATTTGTCAAATGTAACCAAAATTCAGAATCAAATACTACAATGTATTATTTTTTGTTGACAGTAAAAAGTAACTAAAATCACTCAAAATTGGTTTGGAATATGAATACTTGGTCCTGTTTCCACCTTCCCTACTTACTGATTACTCTACCTGGTTGCATTTCCAATACACTTTCATCTCTGGTAACACATTCTTGCAACCTACCCACAACAAACCAGTATATGTACAGTATACTTTGTATTTTAACTGTTCCTATTTGTACTTTTTACTTGATATGTAAGACAACCTTGAGTGTCTAGAAAAAAAATATTTGTATTATATAAGTAAATTCCTCAGTACTTGGTGCTTCAAGCAGCATTTAAAAAGGGTTAAAGGGCTGGTGGAAAACGCTACTAATTAGGATAGGGTAGAGTAAGGTAGGTGGAAACTGGGCTTTAGCACTAATCAACATTGGTTGAGGAGTTTCACTGTTCTTCTACTGGGCGGCAGTAGCTTAGTTGGTAGAGCGTTGGCCTTTGAGCCAGAAGGTCGTGGGTTCAAGCCCCGCTCAAGACTTTCACCATCGACTCCCACTGACTACTGTCGTTGTGTCCTTGGCAAGACACTTAACCTCTGGGAACACCAGCCACAGTGGGGCGGCTGCGGCTGTAAAGTGCCAAACTGCCGTTGTGTCCTTAGGCAAGACACTTCACCCCCATTGCCTAGAATGAGTCTGGTGTGTGTGTGAATGGTTGGTGGTGGTCGGAGGGGCCGATGGCACATACTGGTTGCCTCGCTTCTGTCAGTGTGCCCCAGGGCAGCTGTGGCTACAATAGTAGTTTATCACCACCGTGTATGGAATGAATGAATAATGACACATGTGAAGCGTCTTTGAGTGTCCAAAAAAGCGCTATATAAAACCGATGCATTATTATTATTATTATTATTCTTGACCACTTCATTAAAAAAAAAGGTTATAAAAGGTTTGCAGGCTACAAGGTGTTTGCAGTAGTTTCTAGGTGAAGATTGCTTGTTTATCAATTATTACTGGATAAATTTTAGACCTCAGCAGAATACGAAGGCCTTGGAGGGTGAAGAAAACCCTTCAATCCAGATCTGAGTCAGTCTCTGAATTCACATAAAAGTTGTCCTCTCCAATGTCTGCCACGAAAGACAAGCCTGAACACAATACCAGTGTTAATAATGCAACAAAAATTTAATATTTTGTGTCCCAATACGTTTAACAACTTACCATTACATTCCTGGCATTCATTTTCCTCAAAATGATCCAAGTCGTAGCTCACAAATATGTTCTGTTGATAAATGACAAATCTGAGCCAAATGTATTGTGATGAAAAAAAAAATAGAAACCTTTATAACATGAATTAATTGCAGAAACAGTGTTATTTGCATTTGTTTTCAAATGTCAATGCAGTGAATGGTTAAAGTGGACATATCGTGTTTTCAAATAATAGATTTTTACATCTAAATCATTAATTTGTGGCCTATATAAAGCGTAACTGCAATGCCTGGGTCTGAGTCTCATTATTTGTAGCTCCACGGGCCTTTCTTCTACACCTGTTCTGAGGTGCGTCTGAGAACAACCTGTTTTGGTGCTGTCTCTTTAAATGCAAATGAGGCACTTTTGACCACCCCCCCCCCCCCCCATCCATCCAGGTGACACAGGTTCAACTCCACCCCGAGCGGCCATTTTTGTAGTTTCTAAGCACAGATCGAATTATCTCATAGAAACTTCTCATTACATCGCAAACATGAAGCAGTCCTTCCTCATTGACTGAAAGCAAATATTAATTTTCATTCTTAGTCCAGTCTTATTATTCACTCTTCTATTTTTAGCTTTGGGATCCATGCGCACAGTCTATGATGCTCACACGCCGGTTTGTTTACAACAGCGGCCGCCTGGCGCTGACCTACGTCGCAGGATATGACGCACTACGTTGACAGAAATGTTTAAATTGAATATTACTTATGCACAATTTTACAGCATTTAAAAACGTTAACGTTTTTCCTTCTACAGAAGGAAAAAGACAAATGCGCCTCCGGAGCCGCAGGTTGCCGACTCCTAGTTTATACAGTATGTGGAAGCAAATACTGTAGAGGATCAGGATATGTGCAGTTTCAACAATAAAATAAAATGCAATAGTCTACATTACAAGAGGGTAATGAACATGTCTCAGAGTGAAGGAGGTGGACACAGACAACACTGTTGTTTGTTACAGGGATGAGAAGTGGTCAAAAAAGACTGAAATGCATATTGTCAGCCATTAGCTGGCTCTAAATCTGTTTCATTTGTTCACAACATAATGCTTTTGGGCTCAAACATGAACTTTTAATGCAATGCAAAATGTAGGTATCAGAGCTTTATTTAGGGCGTTTAATTGCGCTTCGAGAGGAGAGGGGAGACGCGGACTGTTTCCTGCAGCAGTGTATTTATTGGGTGCACAGATTACTCAAAGACACGCATGGTCCTGTGCGCGTTTATGGGGTTGGGTACATGGCCACGTTGAGGCTGCGCGCTCAGCCACAACACGGTGGAGCGGCTGCGAGCGGCTGGACGCTCACAGCCTCTCGCAGCCGCTGGACGCGGAAGCTGCTCATTACAAAGCGGCCGCAGATGCCCCGGAACACTGCGGCCGCTGAGGTGGTGGAATCCCGTTCGAGTACATACAGGAGGTGCCCCGCGGATACGCGCGCCCCGCTCGAACAATTCTCAACGGATTTACACTTCTCATAAACATGTGTTTTGTATGAGGCAGACAGACCGGCCCAAATATGGGCATCGGCCCTTTGGGCATTGCCCGGTACACCCTAGCATCCTTGAGCTTGGACTACAAATTCGAAGTGATGCACAGTAGAGGAGGGCTGGGCCGAAGTGTTTTGTTAGACGCCCATGCCCTTATATAGCAGTCTCGCTGCAAATACTGTGACGTAATAATTCTAAACACGTAATAGAGAATGGCAAAATCAGAACGGGTTGAAAAATCTTACCTAAACAGAATATGAAGTGTTCTCTGCAACCCATGAAGAGACTGATTTAAACTTTTTTGCACTTCTAGAGGCTCCAACTTCACAACATAAGGCATTTAAGGTACAAAAAGTGGATTTTTCATGATATGTCCCCTTTAACATAGATCCTAAAAAATAAAATTATAATTGAAAGTATAAAAGACCAAGAAATGACGGAGTAGGAAGTTTTGAAACTTCCAACTCAGTCATTTCTTCCTGAAAATCTGGGTCTACAGCAGACTTTGCAGTCTCCAACCCTCAAGCCCAGTGTATAGTCACGCGGTGCGGAGCTAACGATGGCGACATGACGTCACTTGCGCAACACGTGGATCACGGCAAGACCCTAGCCTGCCGCGCACCCTCAAAAATGTACTATGCGGCCGCCGCCGCAGACAAGCTCCGCTGTGATTGGTTTGTGTGTGAGAAAAGCTCCGCTGTGATTGGTCCGTGTGTGACTACTTTTCTGGGAAGCATGAAGCAGCTGAAGGAGAATGGATGAGGAACTAGAGCAGACTGCTTCGCGCTTCGAAAGAACAGTTTGGGCTAATGGCAGAGCCTGATAAACGCGGAGACTGTGGACTAGAGTTCTTTAGCATATTTTAACATATACAGTGCCTTGCGAAAGTATTCGGCCCCCTTGAACCTTTCAACATTTCGCCACATTTCAGGCTTCAAACATACAGATATAAAAATTACATTTTTTGTCAAGAATCAACAACAAGTGGGACACAATCGTGAAGTGGAACGAAATTTATTGGATAATTTAAACTTTAACAAATAAAAAACTGAAAAGTGGAGCGTGCAATATTATTCGGCCCCCTTGCGCTAATACCTTGTAGCGCCACCTTTTGCCGCAATTACAGCTGCAAGTCGCTTGGGGTATGTCTCTATCAGTTTTGCACATCGAGAGACTGGAATTCTTTCCCATTCTTCCTTGCAAAACAGCTCGAGCTCAGTGAGGTTGGATGGAGAGCGTTTGTGAACAGCAGTCTTCAGCTCTTTCCACAGATTCACGATTGAATTCAGGTCTGGACTTTGACTTGGCCATTCTAACACCTGGATACGTCTATTTGTGAACCATTCCATTGTAGATTTGGCTTTATGTTTTGGATCATTGTCCTGTTGGAAGATCAATCTCCGTCTCAGTCTCAGGTCTTTTGCAGACTCCAACAGGTTTTCTTCCAGAATGGTCCTGTATTTGGCTCCATCCATCTTCCCATCAATTTTAGCCATCTTCCCTGTCCCTGCTGAAGAAAAGCAGGCCCAAACCATGCTGCTGCCACCACCATGTTTGACAGTGGGGATGGTGTGTTCAGGGTGATGAGCTGTGTTGCTTTTACGTCAAACATATCGTTTTGCATTGTGGCCAAAAGGTTTGATTTTGGTTTCATCTGACCAGAGCACCTTCTTCCACATGTTTGGTGTGTCTCTCTGGTGGCTTGTGGCAAACTTTAAACTTTTTATGGATATCTTTGAGAAATGGCTTTCTTCTTGCCACTCTTCCATAAAGGCCAGATTTGTGCAGTGCACGACTGATTGTTGTCCTATGGACAGACTCTCCCACCTCAGCTGTAGTTATCTGCAGTTCATCCAGAGTGATCATGGGCCTCTTGGCTGCATCTCTGATCAGTCTTCTCCTTGTTTGAGATGAAAGTTTGGAGGGACGGCCGGGTCTTGGTAGATTTGCAGTGGTCTGATACTCCTTCCATTTCAATATAATTGCTTGCACAGTGCTCCTTGAGATGTTTAAAGCTTGGGAAATCTTTTTGTATCCAAATCCGGCTTTAAACTTCTCCACAACAGTATCTCGGACCTGCCTGGTGTGTTCCTTTGTCTTCATGGTTCTCTCTGCGCTTTAAATAGAACCCTGAGACTATCAAAGAGCAGGTGCATTTATACAGAGACTTGATTACACACAGGTGCATTCTATTTATCATCATCAGTCATTTAGGACAACATTGGATCATTCAAAGATCCTCACTGAACTTCTGGAGTGAGTTTGCTGCACTGAAAGTAAAGGGGCCGAATAATATTGCACGCCCAACTTTTCAGTTTTTTATTTGTTAAAAAAGTTTAAATTATCCAATAAATTTCGTTCCACTTCACGATTGTGTCCCACTTGTTGATTCATGACAAAAAATTAAAATGTTATATCTTTATGTTTGAAGACTGAAATGTGGCGAAATGTTGAAAGGCACTGTATATAACTTATAAACTGTGCAGTCGTTTCTTTTGCACTGTTCCTGTCTTTGTTTGAATCGTAGCTTATTGCGTCTGTTCCATTCCTCCTGCACTTTTAAATAGGGTTATTTCATGTTTGTCTCAGATATTTACCACTTATTGTTTTTCTGTTTGTGCTGAAAACAATTTAATAATAACTGTTTCCAACAAGAACTGTGTCTTTATTCACAGCATCACAGTTAAATGAGTTGAAACGATGAGTTTAGAACTATCACTATAAACCTACACTCGAAACACATTTAATGATCTCAAACAGCTCGGTTTGCTAATATTTTTGTTCTGAAGAGCAGAAAGTAGCAGCGTAAATAGGACCGCTTTGGTTTCTAAACTCCTGTGAGATCGCAATCACGTGTGAGAGTTGACTTTTGTATTTTACATGAGTTATTTGTACAAACATGGTGCAAAGTAATTCATGATTTGATAAATAAAATTTAGTGGCTAGCAAGTTAAAATGGGATATTGTGATTTCACAAGACTGTCTTAGAAGTGATCATTTGAAAATATTCAATTTGAAAAATGTGCACTCTGAGAAAATATAAAGTGTTGCCTATATATATATATATATATAATGATATTTATCTGTTTCTATATATATTTATTGTGAGAAATCATTAAGATGATCAGTGTTTCCACAAAGATAAATATCAATTATTAATAATAACATAGAGTTAAAGGTAAATAGAGCAAATTGGCTTTTTCTGGCAATTTATGTATGTGTGTAAAAAACTGGGAACCCTTCGCAGTAATCAGTACCCAAGTAGTAGCTCTTGGTTTCAAAAAGGTTGGTGACCCCTGGTCTATAGGTTACTCAATCTCTGCTTTTGTTATCGTTTACATTGTGTTGAACTATTTACTTTAGTAGAAATGATTTTTATTGTAGAATGAAGGCTACTCTTTTGTTTAGGTTTTCATTCAAGTCAGATGTTTTTTTTCAGTGTATAAGACTATCCTCCGCAGTGGAAATAACTATTGCTTCAGCGTTTGGGCGGCGACATCAAGATAGTTGTGATTACTGATGGTTGTCCAGAACCCCCCAGTGAGCTCGACCGCTTTTATTTTCTCAAACGCCTTCTATACCTTACGTCCCTGACATAGTGCATGCGCTTTTTGAGCGGAAATTCTTGTTCCATGGTGCAGATTTCAGAAACGTGCCCGTGTTAGGCCTGGCCGTGCAGCGCGTCAGCATCTAACAATATAAACCACTCTTATAACCGTTCAGTCCGCGGCTTTCAGTCACGTTATTCAAGCAATAAAAAAATGGAGACAGTTAAAATTGATTTGCATTAACGCGTTCAACTGACAGCACAGGACACATTTTGATGACAAGTACCTTTTCTTTCACCAATTTTTCCCAGGAGATTGGAGTTTGCTTGAGGAGTGTGAGGACTGGTTCATTGGCCACGAGTTTCCATGAGCAGCGATCAGCAGTAATGTTTTTGTGAAGGTCCAGGTTGGCTTCATACCATTTGTTGCCAACCCTCCCTCTGCAGAGTTTAAAAATATAAATTAAAAAACTCAAAAGTAATGTGACAAAAGATAAGAAAACTGACTTTCACACCCTTTACAGCATAGATTGTAAATGCCAAACTTCTTTATATGGACTTTTTTATATTCGCACCAATTAGACCCTGCTATGCAAATACAAAAAAAAAAAACATTGTGATAGGTCTATATTCATTAGATTTATCTTTAAGTAGAATCTGCTTAGTGCTGCATACATTTAAAAAAAAAATTGTTTTGTCTTTTTCTATTAACTAAACCAAAAAATTTTTGACTAAATATTGTCTTTCCCTTTAGTTTTAGTCAGAAAAACAATACATTGACTAAAACTGGATATTTAATTGACAAAACCAACAGCCTTTATAAAATATACATTTTTTTACACTGCTAGAAAATGTAGAAAGATATTTTTCCAACTTGTGGGGAAGAGACAATACTGTGACACTAATCAATTTCAAAGAGATTTATTCAGGTAAAAATTAAATGTGAGAACAATGTTTGCATTAATCAGCCATGGAGGGCCCTCTAATACAATAGGCATGGGTCTAAAATGTGCCCAACTTGAGAGCGAAGAACTTGAAGCGAATTCAAAAATGAAAAACAAAAAGACACCTGATCATTTTTAGGACCAGGCTGTTATGAACAGAAGGAAGCTCAGCTGGACTGGTTAAAGAACAGGGCCAGGGCGGGCTCGGTCTTTGGACTGACAGGCTTCAGCTCATCTGTGCACTCAGAGGTGGTTTGCTGATGGATGGTGTTTCTCTTGCAGTTTATGCTCGTAGATAGGCGTGTTCATGTCATGCATTATGCTTCAAAGTTGTGTTTTGGAACAAAGTTCTAACACATTAACACACATAGATATTAAACACATCGCTGCTGCCTACAGTCAAACCTCGCATCACCTACGCCCTCTGGTGGTGTGTTGTTCAAGTGCGGTTGCCCCCCCTTATGCGGAGTTGAGCTCACAAGAGCCAGGTCCATGTGAAAGCACCCAATTTCAATTTCAATCCATGAAAAAGTACTAGTTAGATCAGTGGTGCAACTTCTTGATTGGACATGATTGTCCAGAATGACAGGTAAGTATTCTCCAACAAATCTTACTGGTAACTGGTTAAACATATGGGAGCGACTCTTTTGAATACGATAAAAAGGGCAAAGAGGGCAATAAGGCCAATAATATGCGTAGCTTTTAAAATGTTATACATTTTAAGATAGACACAAAGTGCTCGAGCCGAACATGTAACCACTGCCTCCTGTGTACAAGGCCCTGGTGAAGAGGCTCCTTTGTGAGCCGCGGTAAAAGTTAGTGATTGTGTGAGGTCCGCTGGAGACAGACCTGAACACGACTCGATCTGATGAGAAACTACAACTCTGAGCTTCTGGGTTTGTCATCTTCAGCGTCACCGTGATGGACTCAGGCGATTGGTACCAGCGGACTGGAGGGTGCAAACTGAAACACAAATGACAAACACAAAATCAGCCCAAACATTTTTGGAAAAAGAAGCCACCTTTGAAAAATTGTAACTGGTGTTCTGGTTTTGTCATCACAAGTTATCATACTGTATACCATAAGTCATGTAATAAATAATTATACCGGTCACCTTTAAGATAGTACCGTGAGTATAGGCAGTGCATAACAAGCGTCAATCTCTACCTAGAAGTATAGCACTGCTGCAAAGTCTCTAATCTTTGCATTTGTCATGGATAGAAATTGTAACTGATGGACTAACTGATAATATGCAAGTGTTTGTATTGTAGCCATCTTAAAATGTTCTTTTCAAAATCAGAAAACCAACTCAGTATCTGAAAGGAGACATACCTTTTAGTGTTATCAGGATTAATGTGGTTGCTGATGTCTGGCTCTTTTCTGGTCATTTCATGCTTCTCTGCAACTCCTAACAAGTTGAAGTCAAACAAAGTCACCACAAGCAAATCAGTTAAGAAATGCAAAGGGTTAAGAGAATTATGCATGGTTGCAAACTTGGGCACTGCAAAATTACCAAAAATATTGTTTAAACCTTTCATAGCCATCATTGAATGCTCCTGCAATACTATTTTTTGTCTACTAAGTGTGTAAGAATGAACTGCTCTTAAAAAATGAACATGGTATAAAATTGAAAAATATACTATAGCTCCAGTTTCTGCTGATGCACATAATGCTTGATCAGTTAAATGTTTGCAGCCTTGATTATATTCACCCTTACCGTTTTTAACTGGAATTGCCTGGAGATTAGTATATTCACATCTGCAATAAAAGAAAAAAAGGAAAGAAAAGTTATTCATAGAGCCTTACGATCAATTGGGATTGAATGAACAAGATAAGTCATGATGTCAAGAAATAGCCATGAAAACCACCAAAGTAAAGACAAACCTTGGAATGTGCTCCACAGATTCTGTTGGACAAGTTAGGTCGGCCACTTTTGGTACTTTCAACTTGGCCTGTTGCAGATGCTGGGGCAGGGACAAAGGTAGAAGAGAGGGAGAGGGTGTGGCTTGTTTCATCATGATAGAGACGGGACACATCATCTGCGGCTGTTCGACCACAGCCACATGCTTTTTGAATTCAGCCTCTCGAAACTCCTCTGCAAGGACTTCCTCCTGGATACGGATACGGTTTTCCAAGGAGGTCATTCCATTAAGAGACCTAACAGGATAAAAAACAATCCAAAGTTAAACAGCGACTGCTCTAATAGCGATTTGTTCAAAGAATCCCCTTGTCTGGGAATACAAATATTTAGTCTATGGGGAATACCCATGCTGCAGTGTGCGCATGAATCATTTCAATTACATGTATTCTTGTATAGACCTAAATCACAACAGTAGTTATCTCAGAGGACTAAACAAAACCGTTGAAATCGCCAACACAGATCAGAGAATCAAACAGTTCAAACACAAAGAATAAAGCACATAGGTATTGGTCCACAGGCAGGAGTTAACCAATGTCCAAGTGTTGATAAATGTCTGTAAATGTTGAATTGATTTTGAACACCACGACAGCCTGGAAACTTAGGCAACAATATTTTTCTTTCCCTAAGATCCAAGTCCTAAGAATAACTTTTTTCTCTCTTTTTCTATTAAAATAAAGGATGATTTAGACACTATTATCAAAAACGGAAATAATTTATTCTTTCCTTGGCAGCCTGGTTCAAAGGTCCCATGGACCGGTACGACCACGGGTTTGGGACCACTGCACTATTGGACAGAAGCTTTTTGTTTGTTTACAGATCAAGCAGACATGAAGCTATCTTCCTCATGTTTCATTTGCACAAACGGCAGGGCTTTTTAAGAAGGTTGTTCCCCTGCATCGATTTAAGCATCGAATGGAAAAATGAATTGCTACACCCCCGGAGGAACATAAAAACCTTGAAAACCTTGATAGAGGAAAAGGAGCTGTGGAGACATCATGCAAATGACCAGGGGCAGAGATTAACCACAATAATTCAGACCATGCCAGCAATGAAATGTGTTGTGTGGGTGATTCTTACAGAGAGAGTTTGTTGCTGTTGTCAGCCTCACACAGAGTCTTGAGCAGGTCGATGTGCTCTGGATTACTCTCAGCCATTCCACTGCTCAGGATCTCAGCCCGGATGTTGTGTTCATTGATCACCGTTTGCGTGCCTGTTACTCGAGTGACTCGCACCTGAAGCACATTCATGTTAGACATGTTTATTTTGGGAAGAAAAACTTCTAAAAGAAAACTAATCTTGTTGAAGCCCAGGTCCATGCATAAACAGTAAGAGCGCATTAATTATTTTCCTATTTAATCATTTGTGCATGTTTTGAAGGTCTTACCATCGGGTCAACAAAGATGGTGTTTCCAAGACTGAGAACAACTCGAGCTCTGTGTTGCAGACCTTTGATTTTCTGACTGATCGCTCTCGTGACCTGTGAGAACAGAAAATTTCTTTTTCATCATAGAAAAGCTGTAGTATGGAACATATACAGGTATTACATGTTCCCCTTGCTGCATTTCAAGGATGAAGAGCTAAGTCTGTATGACCTTTTCACCTTCCATTTGTTTGGTTATGGGTGATTCAAACAAACTTGCCTTCACCACATAGAGATAGTCGTAGTATGATGATTATGTGTAGTGCTGTGTGCTATAAACCTTTGGATGCCAGTCTTTATCAGAGTCAGACGGTTTCACTCGGCACACAATGATCTCCACTGCTTGACTTGGAAGCGACTGAAACTGTTCAGGTAACTGCAGCAGCTGGTGGGCTTTGACTTCTTCCCTTTTACCAACATCAATAAACTCAACGAAAACACTGAAGAACAGACGATCTTCTTTGTCAGGGATAGAAAGCACCTTCACCCTAAAAAGCATAAACATACAAAAGTTAGTAGTCAGTATGCTAACACAGGCAAACAACGCACATTACAAGTCTGACAATACTGTTCATTTCTTTTTTACAGATCTGGCAGATTAGGATTGCTGTGTTTTTAATGGAACATAAGAGTTTAAATGATTACTGAAACATGCACAGACAAAGAAAGATGTGGAGGTATTTTAGCATTTAGCATTTATCACCTCCAGACTTTACTACCTTTCTCATTTTTTGTTACAATGCTCGTAGAGCGCAGACCTCTGCCAAAGTCAGTCAAAAGGTCATTAATAACAGAACACGTCTTTTCACCTGTGAAAAACGTCCTCCTCCTGCACGGCGTACACAGCTCCTTCAGTCAGCTCAGTGGCTCCTGGTTTCTTATCCGCGTAGAAAGAAGCGATCTCAGCTGCGGTGCATTCAAAAGGTCTTTCATCTTTTGTGACAATGCGCCCGATAAAAACTGAGGCCGTCTTTATGAAAAGTGGCACCACCTGTAGATCAAGCGATTTCATGTAGTGTGATATCTTGAAGTGGGGCCAATTACAGACATTTCTCAACAGCGAATTACATTATCAGTTTATGCAATAATTTATTTATTTATTTAATGTGTCCCTAAAACATGTCAAATAACCTTTTCTGAACATTCAGTTTAAAGTGTAGTTATTCTTAATTCAAAATATAATGGACCTGAATGTCCATAATATTTATGTTTACAATCAAAACATTGTTTCATAGATTATATCGATAATTGTTTCTTTTAAGACAAAGTGAAATCAAATCAAAAGTGATCTCACTTCTATGACTCCTGATGTAGGAAGCTCAGACTTATCCAGATGTGAATTCCAGCTATGGCGGTCCGGACAAACACTGCTTTCCCTGATGATTCAAAAGTAAAACTTAAAGTTTGACTTATTGAGCTTGAAATTAAGTCAAGTGGGATATCCAACCTGCAGGTTCCAAAGCTTTTCAGATAACTGCAAAGAGGTTTGTTGGTTTTCTGGTCCTCTCGAGCCTTGTTCACCCCCTGGGCAAAAGAGAGCAGCTCTGTGGGGAGGGGGGCACTGGTTCGACCCAAATAACGCAGAACTCCAACCACATGACGAGCGTTTCTCTCAGAGATGATCAACACAGATCTTGAGAGGTGAAGGCCAGAGTCAATTTTATCTTGAGAGCCCTAAAGAAAAATATAAATCAGACCACAACATGTCTTTATCTTTTACACACTGAGAGCTGATTGGCAAAAGATGTGACAGAGTAAAAATACATGCATGCAAAAACTAGATAGAGCCAAACAGTTTTAAGAGCTAGGAACCATTCATATGGATTTTATTATTACAATGTTATTTTTCTGTAGTTTCAAAGTTAAGAACCCCAGCTTCAACTTGAAACAATACATCTCCAGCACCCAGTCTCAAGTATTACTAAAATGGACCAGTTTAAAAGACATTTGTAAAGTTGGCGATACTTACACTTTCAGTTAGATTTCTAAAATTTTTCACCATGCAGAAAAGCCGGCTGCCAAACTTTCTGGGAGAGGACGGAAACCCATAGTGGATGACACAGGTTGCATCACGGATCCCCAGACATCTCAGACACTCATTGGTTATCACTGTAATAAGAGCAACATCTGAGACCAGGGCGCCCACACTTTATCAAACCAAGATCTACTTTTCCAACAACCATTGAGCCGTGATCCCTCTCCGATTTATCTCGGTGTTATGTGGGTGATTCAGCATATCACATTTGGTTCGACTGACGATGGGATTGATGAAAGTTATGACCATGTTGCCTTTATTCACTTTTTGTTAGAAATAGACTTACAGGCTTAAATTATAATTTAAACAAGCACTTATTCAAGTACAGACAAGCCTACATCTGCCACAAAATGTATTTATTATGTTGTTAATGTCACTCACAACTGCTTGGTATTCTGAATGCAATACGAGCACCCCCGTCTTACAGTGTTTTGTTCATGATTGTGTATAATGATTAAATTTAGTTCTTTTAACTTGCAAAAATCATGCCATCCATAAACTGCCATAGTAGATTAAAGGTTCATTTTTATTTAAAATAAATGGAGATTACCTAGAATGACATGAGTGCCAGGACCAATGCTTTTCCTCCACTGTTGTGCAACAAAGTCAAACTCGTGTGTTAGACCTTCGTGGGACTTCAGGCAGAAGGCAGACTTGTTACTAACAGCCTGTAAATAAAACAATATGTACCCAATATTCAAAATATATCATACGAGGTTTCCATTTATCCTACAAAATATATATGTAACATTACTACATCCTTACCTCAAATACATCATCCGCTTCCCGAGGAGAAGAAGTTATGATCAATGTTTTCAGTCCAACCTCAGGGCTGAAATCCAACGTACTCAAAAGAACATCGATTTTGCTGCTTTCCAGACTCATAAGAATAATCTAGTGTTCAGAGATGAATGTGTGTGTCAATGCAAATGCTGGACATGGCATTAGAAGATGGTGTGAAATGATCCCAAACAGACCTGTTGTACGTTTGCGTAGAGCGCGGCCTCTTCTGGGACGGTGACAATAATTGATGGATGAGGCATGTGGGTGGTTAGTAAGCCCTCCATATGACTGGTCCACTGCTTGGACACAGCCACTATCTGCTGGGGACAGGACCGCTTATCCTCACTAGAGACCACTTTCTGGAAATGCTGCAGGATGCTTGTCATCTGAAAAACAAAAGATTACATTTTTTATTCAAACTGTTTTTTTTATCCCGGCTGAAACTCCCTGTCATGGGGACGGCATAAGGCACCTTTCTGAAATTAACACATTTCACTAAATTATTTAGACTTACACAGTAGTAAAGGAACAAAATATCCCTTTCTGCTCTTCATATGTCCCAGCAATGATAATCAAGGGGTGTTCAAGACTGCTGCTGCGTAATAAAACTATGAACCAGGTTATACTGCTCCTTTGGGTGAAAACTTTATCTACAGCGCAGCATAGAAAGTTGGTGACAGAGGGACCAGTTGTTTTTTGTGGAGGAAAGTACTCAGCTTTGACCAGGCTAACATATGCTGATCAGCAATTCTGCTTCATTGCACCAGAAAATGGGTGGCGGTGTCTGGGGTCCTTGATTCAAATCCCGGTCAGAAAAGGGCCTTTTTGAGTTCTCCCCGTGTCTGCGAAGGTTTTCTGTGGGTGCTCAGATTTCCCCCACCCACTAAAAACATGTATACCAGTTAAAATTGTCCAGCTCTGGTCCTGACTAAGAGCAACAACATCTGACGGTGGAGGCTGGGCCGCTGTACTACGGCTATCACTGCTCCTGACAGATGCAGGACACAAAATAGTAGAGAGGGTTTATGTCTGCGTCCGACATATAAATTAATTGACCAAACCACGGAGAAATAAAACCACATTCAGGATTAACCTCCACCGTTCAGATTGTTCAACAGACTTTACCTGCTCAGGGGCTAGGGTGAAAAGCTGGTCAGCCTCATCCAACACCAGGTGGTACAGACGCAGGAAGAGGAAGCAGTGATGTGAAAGGACTCGAACTAAACTGAAGGGAGTGGTCACTACAAGCAGGCCTGTTTGAAATCACAACTTGGAGTGAATAAAGAAGAAATACAGTGGACTTGTTATGCTTTTGAAATGGTACTGACAGTTTTTGGGAATCTTGATGGATTTGGCCTCATCTTTTCTGACCCCGACGTGGATAATCATGGGGTGAAGGCAGTGGCTGACTTTGATCTCCTCCAATAGGTCGAATATGGCCTGAGCTTTCTGCCAACCAGGACACACCACCACCACTATGGGCTAAGAATAATTACAAAAAAGGAAATGAGACATACCAAAGTATTAGAATATAGAAGAATAGTCCTCCATTCTCAGTGATACGGATTAATATACAATTAACACTTTGAGGAAACACTGGAAATGGCGATCTGATCAACATCTGCATGCAAGACATCAACAGTACTTTTTATCTTGTTTGTATTATTCTCACCCCAGTGGTGGAGGTGAGCGAGGAGAAGAGGGAATTGAGCATGACATGGGTGAGGAGAGGGGGCAGGTAGCTGAGCGGTTGGTTAGCGTTTGGAGACACGATCAGAGTGTTACATCCTCGAGCTACAGCCGGCCAGCCGTACCGGTCAGCAGGGCAGAGAGAGTACAGCTGCTTCCTCTGTATGAGCTGAGAAGAAACAATGGAATTACAATGAAAACCATCTCACCACTACTTCCAATTCAGAAACATGTTTATTCTATACATACAGAACTTCATAACAACACACCACACTCATACAACTGAAGAGCAAACTGTGAGTTCTACTTGAACTATCTGTCACTAAAATGCATGAGATAAAATGATAAACTGATTAGGATTGTGATCAGCTTTTTAAGACATGTGAGATAAAGTGTTTGTGTTTAGTTTTATCTTCAGTAGCTTTTATAATTGCAGTCAATACTATTGTAGGACAAAAAGAAAATTAAGGAGCATTTACAAAATTTGTAAATATTTAGACATGGTTGTCCTTTACCCGTCGGAGTTGGTCAGTGATTGGTGCGTAATCCAGGCTTTGACATGGCTGCAAGGGGAATGCAGAGTGAACCAGGTACAAGTCTTTTTCTGGATCCACAGTTGGTGCAACCTGGTCAAAAATATGATAACCCCAGTAGTCTTTGTTTAACAATTATTACTTAATTAAAGATTAAATACCTCCACTTCTTCTGTCTCAATATCAGCATTGAGAGGATCCGGGTTCAACCACTCCAAGAGCCTAAATACACAATACCATAATTAAATACAAGCAAATGGCCCTACAAACCAAGAACGCTCACCCAATGGGCAAGGTTTGTGATATTCAGATCATCAGTCAGAAAAAGTGTGTCTATCAAGAATGTTAAAAAAGAAAAAAATCTTTGGCCAATTATGTGCAATTGATAAGAAAAAATAAAGATTTTTTTTAAATTTCCTATAGGAATAATCCCTTGATCAGGTTAAGTTTAATTTAACAAATCATTAATACAAGTGTAGGAAACTACACTTGTATCAATGATTTGTTAATTGCATCTGAAAACATGTCATTAGTATAACTATATTCACCGAGAACAAGCCCAGTGCTCCTCGCTGCTCCACGACTTCTCCTTCTCCGCCGTTTCGGACTCACACAAGCTGCTGCTCTCGCTGCTATAGACAAATGGGGAATATCTCATCACGTATACTTCTATGAGCTCAGAAAGACCACATTACCTTTTTGGCTCATTTGTAAGATGCTGCAGGTCAAGTAGAGCTTCATCATTTTCTCTGTGAAAGCGGTAATGGATGTGAAGATTAAGCAAGCAGCTAATATATTACTTATTTGATTACTAATATGGTATTTGAAGTATTAAGTATTCTCACCTTATATTCAATTGTTCTTCACCTGTGAGAACAGGTTCACTGTAAATATAAGGATACATTTCATTCTCATAGTTTATTCACACAACTCATAGAAAGTATGTTTTCCCAGTGGAGAAATATGTTTCCATACAGGCATGGTGTGCAGATTTCTGCAGCTGCAGATGTGCCTTCTGGGGTCTTAAGTTGGTCTTCTCTCTTAACAATCTATTATGAAAACAAAAACATATGATTTGCACTAAGACATTCATAGAGCCAAAATAATTTAGTAAGGACGGCATCAAACTTACACTCGAGACCTGATTGAAAATGCTTTGGGGATTCAAGAATTTTAAACACCTGGAAACAAACAAACATTAAAAATAAATCCATACATTATAAAGAAAAATCTTGATTTCAGGATTCAATAATACTTAAACAGATTAAGGTTGTTGGTTAAAGCTGCAGCGAGAGTGGAGTCTGTCTCCTTTGTGCACTCACTAAACCGTAAAAGCAAAACGACCAATTGGTTAAAATAAAAAGGTGAAACTACATTTATATTTAGATAAACAACTATATCACTGACCTATCTGCAGCACCAGCCACAGAACTCTTAACTGACTGGCTGTCAGAGAGTAGTTCTGCTTCGGTCCCAACTGAACAGCAGTCCTCCTCAGAAATGCTGGTTTCTTTTAGCATCTGAAGAGAAACACAATACTTATAAACAATTTCTACTTGGAAATGAACAGCGAGGCCACAAAAGGTGAACCGCGTTATAGCGAGTGACTACTGTATTCTATAAGACAATTATCATACAGCAACCATCTGTGTGCTGCCCTGATTGTATGGGAAAAAAGTTACATTCTGACCTGTGATTCAATTGCCGGACGGGTGGATGGCTCTACAGCATCCGTACGATGTGTTGCTGTTAAAATTCAATTAGACATTGTCAAATAATCTCCCCAAATAAACAGATTACTTGACAAATTGTAGTTTATTCTTTTACCTGCAGGTGGCAGAGGCTTTGTGTAGTGTACACCCTGGTTTAGGATCCTGGAGGGCAACATCACTGGCTTTCGATCTTCTTCATCCAAGCCACTTGCAGCTGTTGGATCTTTGCTATAGTAAGCAAACTTTTTGTCCACCAATTCATCATTCACGCATATCTACAATGGAAAAAATACAAATTGCAAAAGAAATCGGCATTTGCCTGTCCAAGCCCATGTCAATATAAATCCTGTATCAAACTTTGAAGAGCACTAACGGTTGACTCACCTTAATGGAACCAAACGTAAGATAGAGCTGGATGGAAGTTGACTCGTCTTCTGTTTCATACAACAGTGCATCTGTTTGAGTTGAGGCTGTGGAGAAAAGGCAGAGAATATGCCACTTTATCATTCTTGATTCTTATATACAATATAATCTTCCATCATTAGCACTTAAAATAAAACACTGCACAATGGTTTAAGCACACACACTCACCTTGAAGGAGATTATGCAAGTAAAGCGTTGCAGAGCTGTCCCAGTGACTCGATGGTCTACAAAAAAAACACATTTTTCTGAACATCTATGCAGCGCAATGATGAATTCTTTGTGGAGACTTACATCATCTTTGGCTCCTCCCCATTCACAGAAACTTGAAGTCGTGTTGGTTTTATTCCTGAAAGGTGGAACCTCTGCACCCAAAACGGCAGCAGCAGAAAATCCGGCATGGCCACTCGAATTCTTACAAACAAATAACAAATTATTTTAAATGTTTTCTTTCTTGCACATGATAATGACAGTGTTGGCTCTTTTAATCAAACTAAATCTCTTTGTGTTGCTTTAATTGAAAGAAAAGAGTTTTATGGATTTGATCTGAATGACGAGAATGTACTAACTCTGCAAGCACAGAGAAGGCACAAGCAGACAAGGTGTAGGAGTGCAGTATATAAAATTGGTTATATATTATATTTTTGATTATAATTTCATTCTTACTGGTCTAAGGGCACAACAAGACGTTCTCCGTAGTCAACAAGGAAACATCGGACATGACTGGACACCGAGTCTGTGATGACTGCTTCCATTTTTGCCCGACACCAAGACTTTGTAGCAGGCCAGAACACCACACAGACCTAGAAGAAATATTATCAATCACATAAATATAACACTAAAGAAATCTCATTTGCTTATGAATGGGAAAACATCTTCATGAGGCTCTATGAATAGTAGGGTTGTAACAATCCAGCAATATCACATTATGGTTTGATTGGTTTAAACCCTTGAGTTATAATGATTATACTCAAAATCATTGTTCCGATGCTTCCAAATTCACAAACCTCTACCTTGTGTGTTTGAGTGTGTGTGTTTGCAATGATCCCACCGGACCCTTCGCCAATTCAATGGCTTTAAGTAAGATTGTAGAAGAACTAACAAACTATCTTTACAACACTAAAAATAGCCCTAAAATTCCAAGAAATAGTGTGAAGGAGGTCACTGGAGTACACTATAAAACTGGCACTTCCGCGGGCTCCTCTTATGCAGCGGAAAAATCCTAGTGAGATCCCCAGCGTTAAAGCTGCACTAACTGACTTTATTTTTGTATCAATTACGAAAATGCTATCCATGTCCATGCAGTGCATTGGGATATACGTCCTTTTGAAGAAAAAGTAGCACAGATTTGTGCTGGCGTGACATTATATTTAGATCGAGTTTTGATGAAACAAGGAAGAGAATGTGTTTCGGGTCTCTGATTGTGACCAATCACAGCGGACCACTACCCCCCACTTTTGGAAGAAATCTACAGGTCCGTTAGCATAGACGGAAAGCCGAGGAGCTAACCTGAAACTTCCTCGTCTTCGTCACCGGTTACTGCTTACACAGCCAAACAGCCATCCAAAAGAAAGTCCTGTTCCTCTGCGCTTCCCGGTTCTATCGTTCTTTGGTCACGCCATCCACGTGCAAATCCATATCCATGTATTATCCATATTGGGAGACGCTAGCTCTGTCAACAACAGTGGGTGTGTGTGTGGGGGGCGATAGCTTCGTGGGTGCGGGGAGGAGAGGAGAAAGAGCGAGGCCAGCGAGTCCGCGGCTTCAAAATCCCAAAGTCAGTTAGTGCAGCTTTAAATGGAAATATGAAACATGTAATGAAGCACACATGTCAATTATGTGTATTGAAATTGACTGTAAAACAATTAGAATGAATACAAAATGTGATGAGGATGGAATGAAAGCAGCACAAGGGTCTGCCCAATTCTAGTATTCACTGTAACCAGTGATAGTGACAATGTGTTTAAACAGTGAGTGCTTTGTATCGAGTATGGATACTCTTGAAATTGTTCACCTGTCCCTTCTCAAAAGGCAAAAGCTCGATGTGTTTGTCCTGGGTGACATCGTGGTAGAAAAGGTTCATTTGTGCCTTCATGGTGTCGTACTGCCCCTGAGATTGAGCGTCACTAGCTGGGACCCCCACAACTCGACCCCAGAGACAGGCAGGGCTTTCCATCTGGATAAAATGGCACATAATACAATAAACTAATACATGTAGACCAAAATAAAACTGTACACAATTGTTCAGTTCAAGAGTGCATCCACCCACAGACTGTGACTTGGTGTGAAAACCAAGAAAAGATGCTGGATGCAAAACCAAATCTTAGGATCTGAATGAGGGGAAGAAAGACTTTGTTCAGATCTGACTAGAATAGTGGAGGACCAAAAACAAACCTTATGAACAAACCACTTTTTAACATACATATCTATAGTATATATCCTCAGTGTTTGTGGATTATGATACAGGTGGAGCAAGGCTGTCGTAATAAATAATTCAAAGTGATTATTATCATAATCCATGTCATTTTGAATTCAAGTAAATCCACTTAATATCAGAATCAGAATATCCATCCATCCATCCATTTTCTTCCGCTTTATCCGTTGCCGGGTCGCGGGGGCAGCAGTCTAAGCAGAGACGCCCAGACTTCCCTATCCACACACACTTCCTCCAGCTCGTCCGGGGGGACCCCTAGGCGTTCCCAGGCCAGCTGAGAGACATAGTCCCTCCAGCGTGTCCTGGGTCTTCCCCGGGGCCTCCTCCCGGTGGGACGTGCCCGGAACACCTCCCCAGGAAGGCGTCCAGGAGGCATCCTGAACAGATGCCCGAGCCACCTCAACTGGTTCCTCTCGACGTGGAGAAGCAGCGGCTCTACTCCGAGCTCCTCCCGTGTGACTGAGCTCCTCACCCTATCTCTAAGGGAGCGCCCAGCCACTCTGCGGAGGAAGCTCATTTCGACCGCTTGTATCCGCGATCTCGTTCTTTCGGTCATTACCCACAGCTCATGACCATAGGTGAGGGAGGGAACGAAGATTGACCGGTAAATCGAGAGCTTTGCCTTTCGGCTCAGCTCCCTCTTTACCACAACGGTCCGATACAGAGACCGCATCACTGCGCACGCTGCACCGATCCGCCTGTCAATCTCACGCTCCATTCTTCCCTCACTCGTGAACAAGACCCCGAGATACTTGAACTCCTCCACTTGAGGAAGGACCTCTCCACCAACCTGGAGAGGGCAAGGCACCTTTTTCCGGTCGAGCACCATGGCCTCGGATTTGGAGGTGCTGATTCAGAATATATAAATCGATAATCTGATAGAAGACTTGATGCTTAATAAGTGAGACTTATATTGCCTCCTTTGATTGGGAGATTATAGCATTAATGAATTGTTTCAGAATATATTTTGATAAGATATTATTTTGCCAATTGTTGGACCCTTTGAGACACTCTGTATTTAACTAAATATTTTTACAATAATGAATGATACACACGCACCCACACTATCAACCTTCACTGCAGGTGATTTACATTAGTTCTGGTGATTTGGGGCAGACAATACCGATTACTTCCATGTTTAAAAATGTGCTTTCTATTTGGTGGACTGGCAGTAATCAGAAATAAACAGTAAAACGATTTTATGAATGTGGGACATCAGCTGCATAAATTCATGGGAATAAAACATTTAAACAATACTACAGGATATTTTCTGAAGAAATTGCTATAACTACTATTTTATTTGATCATGTGGGTGACAACCTAAAGGAACAGCAAGTACAGTTTGATGAAAAAAGCCTCATAGAGCAGCGTCCGACTTCTGCAAAATCTGCAGTGTGTGCTTCGAAGCCCGAGGTTTTGTCAAGTGAAATGTCACACCTGTAAATTGTTATAGCAGAATTGTTTCCATTTCAGAAGAATTTCGGGAGCATATGCATGTTTACACCATTTTCGGAGCAAAACATGAAGACCAAAAGAAATACATACTTTATTTTACTTTATTAAAACGCATCATCATTAGTTAGCTTAAGCTACACACACACTGGACAGACCACTTTAATGTTACCTTCAAGATGGATATTCTCAGCATGTCTGGTGTATTTCAAGTGGCTGTAAAAGAAAGAAAAGTGTTGTTACATCTTCAAACACTTTTGGAAAAACACTACCGCCATTTTGCCCTCTGCACTAGCTATGACCGCTAACCACGGATGCAAGCTAGCTTAGCTTACGTTAGCATGCTACCGCTAAATCTTTTTCACTGGCAAATCGGCCGAGATTTTATCTATGATTTACCACAATAGCAAATCCAAACAGTGGCTGTATTTGGTAATTACAGTAAACTCTACAGTATTGTTTTTTTATGAGGAAAAAACCAAACCTTTTGAGCTGCACGTGATCCAGAAGAAAGCAGGTGGCTGAATGGACAGAGCCTGCGCTGTGCACCTGTGCTGCACTAACAAACCTGCCACTAGGGGCGCACCAGCCACATCCATGCGATATTATAAGAAGTTCAAGTCGATTTTATGAATGTATGTGGCTCATGGATGTGGCTCTCATGAGCTGAAACTTGCTATTAATTTATCTATCAATCAATCAATTAACCAACTATTTGTTAATTGTACAGGTGTATACGGAATATGGTTGCTGTATCAGACTGTTGATGTTAAGGCAAAAAGGTGAAAAGCAAAACTCTGACTTACTGCTCAGTTAACGTTCTACCCTCACCTATGATCATGAGCTTTGGGTAACGACCAAAAGGACGAGATCACAGATAGGACACGTTGGAGAAACTTTATGTCTCCCTGCTGGCCTTGGAATGCCTCTAGATTCCCCCAATAAGCTGAAGGAAGTGTGTGGATATGGGCGTCTGCTTAGACTGCTGCCCCTGGATAAAGTGTTAGAAAATTGATGGATGGACAGATGTATTGAAAATATGCAAGTTTTTTAAATGGTTGTTTATTAACAGTTGATCAAAGAAGTGTACTTCTCTGTCAAATTAGCACGATAACAAACCAGAACTTTTGTTTGAAAATAAATAAATTAAGGTAAAAACGTACTGTGAAAGAACTATAAGATCCATAGTGATCTCCAGAGTAAGCTTACTTACACTTTATGATTTTACATTATTATTTTTGAGCATCACATTCAAATATTTTGCTAGATAATTCCTCATAGAGTTGATTTAGCAAAACAATTTACCATGTTACGTATTAAGCAACATTTACAAAGAGTATAACAGAGTAAGCCTTAAGAGGGTTCATGGAAAAAGTTGTAGATTTGATGAGCAGCTGCTTGACCCACGACAGGCTCTAGTTCTGCAAGAGGTGTATTACAAAGCTGATGGATGCTGGGGAAGTGCTGGAGCAGAGCCAGAGCTTTGACCCTGCCCACACCAGGCAGGAGCTGCACTGTGGACAGAATCTGTGGGTCCATCAACCGCGAGGAGGTCCTCCTCCTGAAGGGGTTCTCACGCCTCTCACCATGCACCTGGAGACAGAAACACTTCAATAAAAACATTATTCATCAATTTAATTGGGAACAAAACATCTCCTTAGCCCAAATGTTCACATAAATGATGACATTCAGTAGTGAACACATTTAATTCGTTCTTACAATTTGAGCGATAAGTTGAGAGGCCTCTGTCTGTCCACTAACAGGCAGAAGGGTCAGGCCAAGGTCAAACACCACAAACTTCTGCACAGCTGTGAAGTACTGCTCACTCAGTCTGGTGTTCTCCACCAGCACCAGCCCCAGGAAGCTGCTGCCAGCCTGCGGTCAAACATTTAGGAAAAACAAAGTTTCAAAACCTTTGATCTCTGAGCACTTCAGTTCATGTAGGTTACCCACATTTCTGTAGCGAACCAGCTTTCGCTTATAGCCATTTCCTGCAACTATGTCACTTTCTGAAATATACAGGATGCAGCTTTTGTTAGGCAGGTGGAAGTCTGACATCCCAAGCTCACTTTCAAAGAGGATTTTCACCCCTGCACCTGAAAATATAGCGTTAATTACATTACTTCAATTTTTTTCTTGTAGTACACACTTAAGACAGCTAACACAAGAAGATAGGAGCCAGGATACAGATAATACCTTTTAGATGCTCAATTAGAGGACAGTTTCTCCATTTGTCACCGGCAATCACATGTCCGTATGGAGGAACCGCATTCAGCAAAACTGGCGCTTTGTTTTCCATCTGTGTGCGAGTGTGATCTGTACTTTTCGTGTTTGCCTCCACTACCAAAACAAGCGCACTTCCTCCTCCCTTCAGCGGTGTGGTCACTGCCCTCTAGCGGTCAGGAGAGAGAATGTATTTACATTAGTCTAAATAAGTAATCTGTGTGTGTTCTTCTTACATGCCTGAACAATCTAAGCACGTGTGTCAACTTTCTGTAAAATATGGCCATAAATCAAAGATACATGACAACAATGTATGGGTTAAAGCCATAGAGCCGTATAGTTAACACCATCTTAGTGGAGGACTCCAGTCTTCTCACCCTGGTGTCTTCGCAGTCCCTCGGGTCCCTCGGGTCCATCGGGTCCCTGACTGTCCCTTCTTTGCCCCACACACCCCACGGCCACTCGGTGTGTCCGTGTCATGGTCCGAGTGACAGCTGGGGTAGTTAACATTCTGCCCTGGACAGCGGCAGCCTGTTGCGCAAGCGCAGCCCATTCACTGTGCATGAATACGAAGTGAGGAGAGGACAGCACTTGCGGGGACTACTGGGACTCTGCAGCGCCTGTACTTGGGTCGACGCGCGACTGGATGGACCGAAGCGGGACGCAGGTGGACAAGATGGATGGACACAACGGCATGAACAGCATCAGCCCCCGGCCTCATCACCGGCCATCCTCCGCATCCGAGAGCAGGAAGAAGAAGCCCAAGAAAATCCCTGATAAAGTGACACTAAAGAAGGAGATCGGGCTGCTGAGTGCGTGCACCATCATTATAGGTGAGGCAAGGCTCTACTTGGTATGTAAGAATAATTATATATTTAGAAATATATAAAACTTTAGTTAAAGTTTATGCAATACCAGTCTATCAACCACACAATCTATCTGTATAGGTCTGCATCTACAGATAGTGGTAGGCCTTTTAAATGTGCAGATAGTACAGACAGATAGACTGACAGCCATAGACAGATGCACTACAAAAAAGGCCTTGGTCTACGTGGCTAAAACATCACTTGCAGAAGTTAATGCGGTGGTCAAGCAGAAGGGGATTGTGTGCAAGAGCAGAGCAAACACTGGTGACTTTTAAATGCACCTAAGCACCGTAAAAATGAGCAAGAGGGGAGGCCTGTTGGGTTAGATCGCTCCATAGTCTGCACTGAGGCAGTGATAAAGGTAAGTCTTTATATATCTTCTCCTCACAATCACTCAGATAGGAGAAATGTGTCATCATTGATTAGATAAACAAAAGTCATAGACTTTTCATCATATTAATTGCTATTCATAACCTACTTGATTCCTCTGACATTATGCACATCAACATGATACTTCAATACAGTCATTTGAGTGGACTATGACAGAGCACTTGAAAGCAAGTTTTCAGTATTAAGTCACACACAAAACAGTTTCTCCCCAACCAGGTCACCAACACTGTGTATCATATTGATATTGATCTATCACTGGCAAATTATTTAATGAAATTATTTAATGTGAAGTGAGAAAAAAATCTGTGTACCCTTCGATCATTAGTTATTCAGTTTCAAAAAAAAATTCTGAAAAACAAATTACGTGGTTGTTTGAAAAACAACACCAGGGATTGATTTGAACTGATTCAAGCTAGTTCAAGGCACAATCATGGAAATATGATGCACATGAGGGATAATATAAATACTGTTATACTGTAGGCCATCTCTGTTGTAATCTGGAAAGTTCAAGGGCTTTGTCACTATTGAATATTCCTTAATTATTCCTTTGTTTTGTAATTACAAAACCCTCAAGCATCTTGAAAACCTCCATGGATGACAATAGTATAGGTGACTACAGTCTACAGGTCCTGCATGTTTTCCCTAAAGAAGTGACGGTTCTACAGTAGCACCTGATCAGTTTACCTGGAATGTTCTTCAGTGTGGCCCTAAGCTCATCTGTCTGACAAATGCATGATGATAAGGTGACTGTAAGAATACATTTACATGACAGTTTTACCCGTTACATTTCATACTGTGGAAGAAACCCCTCAGAGATTCTTTATCAAGTACAGATATTGTGTTTAATCAACTTTTTGGAGCTTTTAGCTATGTTACAACATTGTTCCTTGTTGTTTTTGATCCATCTCGCTAATATCATAAACTTCTGCCTTTTAAAACAAAACTATTGCCCATAAATTAGAAGTCAAAGGGGAAAGGAGAACGTTCTTGAGAATTGCTTCATTTTCAACTTTTCGAAATAAAAAAAAACAAATTTAAGACTCCCTCTGCTGGAAGCATAGTGAGTACAGGCCAATAGCCTTATTTATCCTTCATTACCAATGCTCTACCAACTGAGCGACAGTGGCTGAGTTGGTAGAGCACTGGCCTTTGAGCCTGAAGGTAGTGGGTTCTAGCCCACGAGGAGACCTACTTCACGACTCCCTCTAAAAACTGCTGTTCTTGTGTCCTTGGGCAAGACACTTAACCCCACATTGCCTGAAGCCCCCACTGAAAGATCAGAGCTCCTGTGGACTCACAACCTATGGATCAGTGAGGGGCTGGTGCTCTGTGAACTGGGTGCAGCTCTGACTGCCACCCCCCTGACCCAGAATTGGATGAAGGGGAAGAAAATGGATGAATGGATGGACTTCTTTCACCATCATTCCATGTACCTAAAACATGAAATGATGAAGTAAATTGTCTCATAATCCCTTTTTATAGTCAAAATCATGTCACAGTCTCGCTATCACCTTTATAATTTTGCCCTTCTATACTTCCCTCCTTCCACCCGTTTACAGTCTATAACCCATTCACCCATACACGTGCTGTAATAACCCTGAGTATTGTCCATTCTTATCTTGAGAACTGTTGCTATAATTGCAAATGTAGAAAATAGCTCGGTAAATTGGCGTTGCCTTTACTCAGTGGGGGTATTTATAAATGTCCTGTGTGGTGAATGGTGGAGCACCTTTTGCATGCAGAGAGATCACTGGCTGCGCTTTCTGGCTCCGCTTCAGAAGTCACGAGATTAAACCGTGCCTGCATTTTAGGGAGCCTTTTTTTGGAACTTCTCTTGGATGCTTCGCGCAATAGAGAAAGGTGAGTCGGTCACTTCCCACCTCAGCGGCCCACAGTGGATAATTTATATGGGTTATGTAAGATTTGTCTGTGCCACTTGGCTGCTCTGTGCCATGTTACTGGTCGCTCCGTTGTCTGAATGCATGAGATGGACTGGTACTTTAACGGCACACTGGGCTCTGGGTGAGTGATGGTCTCTACCTCCTACTCTTGTAATAGAGGCCTTTCTTTAATAATGCCCCCTGTATAAACTTGGAGGGGGAGTGGTGACGGAGGGGCCCAAAGTGTCACCAGTGCTTTTTAAAAGAGGGCAGCAGCGCTAAAAGATGTTGTGAAGGATGCAAACGATGTGGGAACTCCTATAAACAAGTCACATGTAGAAAGCACGTGTTGGCCAGTACCAGGGACATGTCAACATTTGCTGCTGGAACATGCAACGCTTGTTATACAGGCTTTCTTTAGTGGAAAAAATAACGACGACGAATAGTCTGAACTGGACACCTTTTGCATACTTTCAGAATCAGAATCAAAAGCATTTTTATTGCCCTGTAAGTAACAGGAAGTCACCGATTAGCAAATTGCTTTGGCTCTCGTGCAAACAAGTTAAAAGTATTAAAAGAATAGAATAAAAGAATAGAATAAGGCATTATACAAAATCTACATACATTTCTAAAATATAAAAAGTAAAATTATAATGATTATAATTATTACTATTCACAAGTGCACACAATAGACATTAAGCAGTACGTTAAAGTGATGTTATGAAGGGCAGTAAAGTGACTTTATAAAGGGCGCACTTCACAAGATTATGAAGTGTTCAAGAGTCCAACAGCAGAGGGGAAAAAACTGTTCTTATGGCGGGAGGTTCTGGTCTGAATGGAACAAACTCATTGTTGTACGAGATGAGTCCAATGAGAGCGGTATCGTCTGCGAACTTGATGAGCTTCACAGAGTCGTGGCTGGAGGTGCAGTGGTTGGTGTACAGGGAGAAGACCAGGGGAGAAAGAGCACAGACCTGTGGAGTCCAAGACATTCTTCCCCAGACGCACTCGCTGCTTCCGGTTTATCAGGAAGTCAGTGATCCACCTGCAGGTGGAATTGGGCACGTTGAGCTGGGAGAGCTTGTCCTGGAGCAGGATGGCAGGGTGATGTTGAAAACAGAGCTGAAGTCCACAAACAGGATCCTGGCTTAGGTCCCGGGGAGTCCAGGTGCTGAAGGATGAAGTGGAGGGCGGGTTTTCTGGCCTGTAGAAGGTCCATGAGGGAGCAGGTGAAGGACTTGTGGTGGAGGAGGACCAGGCGCTCAAAAGACTTCATGACTACAGATGTCAGTGCCACAAGTCGTTAAGTCCTACTTTAGGTTATTAGAATAATTTTGACATTATTGATACTTATTTTCACATAGAACTATTTTGATTATTCCACTAGTCTAACATTTATTACTATTGTCTTATTTGACACTGCAACCTATAGCTCCTGATCCAATGACATTATAGCTCCAGATATTTCATCATTCTAATTATTATCTTATTATTCTTATGAGTATTATCTTAAAGAGTAGATCCTGTTTGGATGTTTATTAAGGCTATTATTTCTCCTTTGAATTTGGCAAAACCCTTATGAATTTGCACAACACTAAATTTAGAATGACCCCCCTATGGGACAACTATAGAATTTTATTTCTTTTGGCAACTTCCGAAAATTACTAATATTTTCCATTTTGCTTTTTAGGCTGCCCTTTCTATTCTTTATTTGTTCTTGTAAATATATGTTTTACACTTTCTTTCTATTGATTTAGAAGGTAAGGACCATGACACCTATGACAATACAATACTCCCCTCTGTTGGTCGTGGTCCAAAGTATAATAACATGCATCTGTTGTGTGTGTAAGATTACTGTCCAATCCTGTTGCTCCTCCGGATCCGTCCTCATTCCTATTGTGGGCTTTGGTGCCAAAGTAGCTGCTCATTTCGTAATTCATCTAATGTATCCATGAAGAGGTGCAGTTTATCTCTTTATCTGAAAACAAACATTAGAACACAAGGAACGCCCACTTCTCTCGTCGCATGGTGCGGCCTGTCAATCAATCCAATGGGCAAAACAATAACTGCATTGACAGACGGTGAGTGACATAGGGCAGGAGGCTGTAGCCAAAATACAGACTTACATATGTAAGTTTTAATTTTCACTCCCCTAAAAGTGAGTTTACAAACCAAAGTTGTCCTCCTCCCAATGACCGCTCACTGCGGTTGGACCGAATCCTGTCGGACAAACAGCAGAGGTGAGGGGCTCCCATTACTTCAGCGACGGTATTTCATATCAGAGTACTTTCGCGAGTACTTTTCTCAGATTACTCATCCAGAGTACTCTCACTTTTACAACCTGTTCATAAAGCTGTTCATCTTTGAATCTCTCGTACTTACACGTATGCTGTGAAAAAAATATTATTCCATGATCACCTTAAAAACCTTACCGAAAACTTTTGTTATACAATGATTCGTTCAGCATTCCTCAGTTTCTCTCCACAACACAACTCACAACACAATCACAACACCCCACGTAGTATTGGTCAGTTTGTTAACTCATTCACTGCCAGACGACAAAAGTCGTTCTATTGTATAGTGACGCTCACTGCCCAAGACGACATTAGACGACTTTTTCTTGTTATTACACGGGAGGCTGCAGTAATGTCTGGCGCACCTTGTTAAGACCCACAACCACGAAATATAGTGCAAATG